ATATTCGTGTATGACGATTTATTTAGTTTTTATTCACTTTTTTGCGAATAAATGTTTGTTGTCTTCCGTTGTGCGCATCTTCTAAGCAGCTGGGTTGGTCTTTGTGGTAGTTTTTTGTGTGTCCATTTCTCTCAAACTGAGAGAGTCTCAATGTGAGTGTATTGAAGAAAATATAAACAAAGTGAGCTTTTTGAATGAAGAGAACACCAACAATGAGCGTCAAGCAACAAAATTATTTGGTTGTCAGGATAGCGTGTATAGTAAATACGGTCTACTGGATTGAAAGAATCGAGAGATAAATATGGTAAAACATTTTAAATGAACTTCAGTTGTATATCGACCTCCAACGACGTTAGACCCAAATCAAACTAAGCTTCGATTTAAATCAGTTTTAATAGAATTATTGAAAATTTAAAAATGAGTACGACGATTACGAAATTCTGCGGCGAATATTTTTTCCTATCAAATTTTTACCCTGTCGACATCAACGCGCATAGCGTTGAAGTTTCATATGGGTTAGAGTGTTCTAACACTTACAAGGTGTGCTAGAATAACTGTCGGGTTTACTTTAGAGAAAAAAGCACATTTTTCAACCAAATTAAGAATTTTCGCGTTGTGTATAGGGAGTCTATATATTTGTAATTAATTAGCCAGACTTGATTGCCCAAATTTTTTGTTCGTTTTGGAGACATCAATGTGTCAGAAAAAAATCGGGAGCAGTACGAAAGTTGCTTTGGTCGACTATATGGCCCAGTCGTGACCAAGTGTCGAAACAAAAATAGTTTTCCTTTTATATCATAAACTATTGATGCCAAAGGAAGTAAAATAACTGACCAGCAAAACCACAATGTCTTTATGTTGGCTACGCCAGGCTCATATTTTACCTAGCTCCATTTTTCCTTATTTTTCAGAAAAAAGCCAAATAATCAGTCGTTGAATAAAAAACATTATCCAAATACTATTTCAAATGATCGGGAACATCTTAATATCGCTTAATATCTCCTCATAAGAAAATATTAATTTCATTGAATTATCATTTTCCGCATAACTATGTCCGAAATATAAAACCCAATAGTTATTCTGGCACACCCTGTAAATAAACGAAAAGTGATTTTTATGTGTTGACTCAAATTAATTGTGTTTTTTATCACTTTTCGTTTATTTACTCTTACACTTATCATTTGATAAAAAAGCTATTTATGAGGAGGAAGTAGATTAAATTTCATTTATAGTTGAAATTGTGACAAAATGAAATAAAAGAAAACGTTAGTTATACAACGCGCGCCAACAAGAGACTGAAGTCAGTTTAATGGAAAATCATAAAATTGATGTAAAAAGTCATTGACTTGAGAAAAGAGAGATAGAAGAGAATACCCACCAATTCGCATCGAATCTAAGGAAATGTATCAGCTTCAATAAATAAAACAAATTCAAATGTTTATATGAAATTTATTTACATATCAAATGGTTAGTTTTGTTATTCTTACATCAATTGCCATTTATTATGCACAGAAATGAATCTTTTTTTTTGTTTCAAAAACTTTGAGGTATTAAGCATTTTCACATTTTGGTATTAATGCTGGTGCATAGTACGGATTCAATGAGGTAATTTTTTCATCTGATTCACGTGATTTTCTCAACCGTAAATAGATTTTAAGTGCCAAATATTCAAAAATGGCACTCAAAACTGTGGAAATCGAACGGAAAATGTGATTATCGAAACTTTAAAATAATTGTAAGTATTCTCACTCACCAAGTATGAATACTCCCATTGCAAAGTAAGAGTTACTACCTGGTCTTTCATAAAAGTAACTATATGCATAATTATATCCAGACAATACGCTATGATAAAAAAAATGACAAAAATAAGGAGTCATAATCTTGCGATTAGAATTCCAGCGAATTTACCCATGTAAAGCGAGTGATACATAAAAATCGCCCAAAGCGACAACGGGACCGCCCACCAGGTCAAAGTCAGTAGCAGTAAAGGAAAGTTCTGGAATAGTATTTAATTTTCATTTTCACTAAATATTTAAAACATCAAGAAGAAGAAAAATTGCACAAATCTCGATTTATCGCTTCAGAAATCGAAATTTCCTCACCATTCCGATTCCAACAAGCCAAACGATGCAGCCAAGCAAATTGTACACTGAAAATATGGAATTTTTGATGAATATTTACACATTTTCACCACGTGGCGAACAAAATTCCAAGAACGAAACTGTGAGTTCATTTTTTTCAAGATAAAAATACTTCAAGTGGCTTTTTTGTTTTGTTACATATGAGAGCAAATCACACACTCACCGAATGTTGCTGTAATGAAAGAATCAGAAAGGCGAGTTGATTCGAAAACGATTAAACATAATATGAATATAAAACGATACCGAACCAACCAATTAACGCTTCTTGACGAATCTTCATTTTTTTCTTTGAAATTAAATTTTTTTTATACAAATATTTCTCTTTTTTGTGGATTCGTTTGAAATATCGAAACTTGAAGGAAACACTTTGGAAAAGCGTGTTATTTTGTGCACGTCTGACTATATACTGCTTACTACGAGTTGCTTGATATACAAATAGAAAATTTATGCGTGCGCGTTACATAGGGTGGTCTTTATGAACTTTATAAATGGACTCAATATATCATAAAAATTCATCAATTCTATTGAAAAATCATGATTTGAAAATCATTTTTACCACACGGAAATTATGCCCTATAAGAGACTGCAGTGATGGTTTCTCGTTAGCCAGCATTGTCTTAGCCTTGGCTTACACCAACAACTGGTGTATGCCAATCGTTAGCCAGCTATCAGTGTGACTATGTACGATTCTCACTGACGTTTATGAGTGACATACAACTCAGTGTATATATGTATGTATTAGTGCTGGTTTACACATTCGTTAGCCAGTGTATACGTAGGCGACTATTTAAGTTTCTTCAATATGTATGTTTTAGTATTGCCCGATGCAAACCATTGTCATATTCGTTAAGTTTAACATTTTGTAGCATAAACGTTCTCAGAACGTTTTGTCATTCGATCGTTATTTGTATTGTTTACCGTAACATGTAAATTGCGTCTCAGCCAAAAAATGAATTTTACTCGTGAAAATTTTCGAGCGATTATTTTTTTCCACTTTCGATTGGGTGTATCACAGCAACAGTGTTTTGATCAACTTCATTTGGCCTTTGGCGATGAAGTACCAAGTCTTCGGACAATTTATAATTGGTACAACGAATTCAAGCGCGGTCGCCTATCGCTCATCGACGAGTTCCGCGAAGGTCGTCCAAAATCAGTTGTTGTACCAGAAAACATCCATGCTGTCAGAAATATGATAATGGAAGATCGTCATGTAACATATCACGAGATTGAGGCATCCCTGGGCATTAGTGCGACCAGCGTATTTAAGATTTTACATGAACATTTAGCTGTCAGAAAGATTTGCTCTCGTTGGATACCACATAATTTGACAATCGCTCAAAAAAAGGCTCGTGTCGATTGGTGTAAACAAATGCTCAAGAAATTCAATCGTGGTGTTTCAAAATCCGTGTATTTTATCGTCACTGGTGACAAATCATGGATCTACGCGTATGAGCCCGAAACTAAACAGCAGTCGACTGTATGGGTCTTTCAAAGTGAAGATAACCCAACAAAAGTTGTTCGAGCTCGAAGTGTTGCAAAGCAAATGGTCGCCTGTTTTTTCGCGATAAGTGGTCATGTGGCAACAGTTCCACTAGAGGCTCGTAAGACCGTCAATTCTGCTTGGTACACCACCATTTGTTTGCCCGAAGTGTTTGGTGAAATAAGAAAAAACAACCGCCGTCGCAAAATAATTCTTCATCATGATAATGCGAGCTCTCACACATCTCATCAAACAGTCGATTATTTGACCGGTCAAAAGATCGATTTAATGGGTCATCCGCCGTACAGTCCTGATTTGGCACCCAACGATTTCTTTTTATTCCCGAGCGTGAAGAATAAACTGCGTGGTCAACGATTTTCATCGCCCGAAGAAGCAGTTGATGCGTTCAAAACACACGTTTTGGAGATATCACTTTCGGAGTGGCATGAATGCTATGACAAATGGTTCGAGCGAATGCAAAAGTGTATTGATCATCATGGCGAATATTTTGAAAAACAATAAAACCATTTTCGATGAAACCCCATTGTCTTATATATGTTTTTGAAAAAACTTAAATAGTGACCCTCGTACATTTGTGGCTAATTAGCCAGCTAATGTGCCCATCACTGAGAGACTGTATAAAATGCAAAACTTTAGCACTGCTAGCGCCACTACGGACAACTATGGAGTTCCAGTCCGTTGGTTGCAACTGAGCAAAAGTCTTTTCACTATTTGGCGGCAACTTAGTGTAGATTACATTGAATTCCGTCGTGGCGCTAGCATTGTGACAGTTTGGGCATAATTTCGGTACGATTTTTACGAAATGACAATTTCAAATGTTAAAAGTTGAAAATATTTCTTGATATCAGAGCGGATGTGAAGGTTGATGTTTTGGGGACCACCCTAGCACGCAACGGCGATATAAAATGCTCAGTCAAAAATACGAGATAGCTGATACGATTCATTCTTATCTCCATACGTGCGGGGACGCATACTTCAATTTCAGACAAAGAATATAGAACCGGTGTTGCTAATGATTATTGAAGTTTCATCATTCTACTTTTTGCTTTTCAGGGGAAAGTGACTTTACATTTCCAATGAGTCGTCTCTTTATTTAGATTAAGAGTTACTTTAGAACCACAAAAATAGCTGGCTACGCCAATTATTATACTCACATCCATTCCCAATTGAGTTTATTAAATAAAGTTAGCTTCAAAGAATGCAAAAAAAAAACAAAATAAAAAAAATATTCAAGCAAAAAAAAAATCAATGAAAACTTTCTATTGAAAAATCTATTTAATTAGTTTTTATTTCATCCAACATTTAACATTATGTAAATGTAACATTAAAAGGCAAAAAAATTGATGCAAAACTTGTGTTCAACAAAAATTATATAAATTCGCATAATCATCGAGTAAGCATTTGGTGTAAACATCTAAAACTAAATTCATTTCCTCAGACCACGGTAAATGGCCGAATTTTTCCAAAAATGCAATGCATTTGCTCGACAATTCGGTGCGGTCGCAAATTCCTTTGTAGTAGTTACACCGAGCTTTCGATAAAAACTGATAATTTTCATCTGACTTCATTTTGGCGCGTTGTTTTGGTTTGCAGTTTGGTTCACATTTATCACATTTGCAAAGAAAGCCCCAATATTTCAAAAGCGCGTCTTGTCGTCGTCTCCTTGAGCGTGGTTTTGATTGAATTCCTGCATCCAAATATTTTACAAATAATTGATCACCCTTTTTAATCGGGCGTATTGTGATGCACACTTCGCTATTGCCAAATGATAGATTCAGAAGATTCGCCGCACAAGAATGGTTGAATAAAGAGAATACATTTGGAATTGCGCGAATAGTTGGCCGACATGCCAGTGGATTGAAATTTGAATTTCGTGCAACAATAAGGCTGGATATGATCGAAACATGTTCTGCGGCAAAGTGCATGAGAAATCGTTGACTTTGTTGCGAATCAAACATGGATTTAATCAATGCAATGTCCAAAAGTCCAGTGTAAACTTTGTAAGTGGTTTCCACATCGAATTTGTCCCCTCGTGGTCCTTTCAAGTTGAGAAACAGTGCGTATTTTGACTTTTCATCGTTAGCTGCCTCGGGTACTTGTGTCGTCCTTTTCGCCAAAGTATTTTCCACGAATTCCATCATTTCTTCGGCACTTGTGAATGCAATGATTCCAATCAACATCGATCTGATTATAAATCTGATGTGGCTCGGCATTCGTTCGAAATTCGCACCGCAAAATTTGTGGTGAAGTTCATTTTGATTCTGACATGTTTCACTGCAAAACATCACATCCGTGCATTTTGAACAGGGGAATAAGCTCCCTGAATATTGTAGACAAGTGCCGCAATGGACGAGGTTAAAACTCTTCGAGCTTTGTGACACATAATTCTCTTCAACCAATACCGTTTGACCGACAGCAATATCACAAGTGGCCACCACATGCCGACCGAATTCCTCATTTTCTTGAATTTCCAACACATTTGCCATGCACGGAAATTTTTCATGTGGTGAGAAGCTTAGTTGTGGATCAATTACCCTCTTTCCATACGATTGAGTGTGGCACGAACGGTTATTCATTTTTTTAAACTTTTCCAAATTCCCTTCACACTCTTGCTTTAGTTTCATTAAATCCGGCAACAATTCGGGTGGATGATTCGCTGCAATGGCCAATTCAATGTCTTTGAAACACTCCGAATGCTTTCCGCAGTGTAAAAAGCAAATGGCACGATTCGCATATGCAAAACCAACGTTTTTACTGCCAATTTCAGCGAAACATAAACACTGATTATACAATTGAATCGTCGCATATAGACCAGGTTTTACTCTGGCGTTTGCATCGAAGCAACATTTTCGATATGAATCACCTTGAGCGAGATAAAAATCGGAAGTTTTGTCACTTTTCACTGCTGCTCTTTTCATATACGGGTAATTGTGTTCCCAGTCTGAATTTCGTATTTTGCGATCCCATTCTTCAAACATTTTTCCATCGTCGTACTTTTCACAAGCAAATAAGTCCACAAACAATGCTGAAGCATTGTCCGATTCTTTTTTCCACATAATCCCCATCGATTTCGACCAACTTTTATCACAAAATGAGTTATTATTACGAACTATTTAATACTGATGCTACTTGTTGAGCGGCACCTATAAACTTAACTCAGCTGTGAAAATGAATAATAACAAGTGCCGGAGACAACAAAGTTAGGAATATGTATTCGTTTGGCGTGCCTACGTCATTTCAAACATGTGTGTTTGTTATGCGGCTGTGAATAAAACGTAAAATTTGCGTCGTGGATACATTGTTCACCATATGATGCACATGCGTTAACGCTACGTACTCGCGGCAATCGTTACACATACAATTATTGAACAATTTTGCGTTTGCTTTTATTGAACATTTTTTGCAAGTGTGCGTAATGCCCCTTCACAGACTACTCAAACAGCGTTCATCGCTGCAATAATAGAAGGATTTCATTATAGTTGGCAATACAACCGTAACGACAGCTGAAAAGGTAGAATTATTTTAATCAGTATGTTTATGAGTCACATCAGATTGTTTGCAGAGTGATTTGCACTCTTGAATAATGTTGATTGTTATGAAATCTCCAGCGTGAATAAGCATTCAGAATGAAATCCATACAAACAAGACTCATCTGATTCGTATATTTTTTTGCAGTTTAAAAGTTTTCCAACGATTCCCGTGTCTAGCAAAAGTAATTGACAATCAGTCAATTTTATGTGACAAAATTCAATTGCGACAAAATGACAACAAAATGATATTTTGCTTATTACAAAATCTAATAATGGTGTATGTTACGCGCTGGTCATCAAATTAAAAGAGTAATGGTTAAATGAGAACGTTCATTGTTCAATTGCGCTTGGTTCGTTCTGATAAGAGGCAACAACAGCAGTGAGTGCAAAAGGGAATTGTGAAATAGGAGTGTAATTTGATAAAACTTATCAGCGAAACACCGCGATATAAATGCTAAAAACACCACTTTCATCTATTTATTTATGCAAAATGGTGAAATTCGTTATGTTTGGCTCAGTCAAGTGTTTGTGTTTCTTAATTGATTTTTGGCATTCTACTTGCTTCGTTAAGTAAATACTATAAATAGAATAGTGGGAATGAAGACATTGGAATTATTTCTTCCTCAACATTTTAAAATCCATAACATTTCAATGAGTTTATGCTTTTAGCAGAGAACTTGATACATTAAATTTTCTATTATTCCAAGTGTCTTTTCATCACTTAAATCATCCGTTAAAAAGTGAAAATAAATTCGTTGCTTTTTTTGTTCAATATGAATGAAATCCGTTTTTTTTTCGAATTGTTTGTCAAATGCCAATCATTGGAACCAAATCACTGTGTCAAATGTTCTAACTGCGTAAAATGTCATATTCCAATATTCTGTTGAATGTCAAATCACATTTGACACAAACGTCAAAGCGTTTGCTATTTTTATCACATCAGTCGTGCAGACTACATTGGAAAGTGTAAACAATGTTTTTCACAGCATTAACTACGTAGAAATAAATACGTGAGTAAAATTCAGTGTAAGAAAATAAGATTTTTGTTGATTTCAAGTAGAGAGAAAGTAAAATCCCTTGAGTAGAACGTGAATTAGTTTGTGTAATGCATGAAAAATTGAAATTCTCATTGGAAGCAGGCCAACACAAAGAAGACGCAAATGTTTTTTTCTTTTTATTTATCGTTCTTGTCACTTTATTATTGATATATCACGACGTAATTCTTATTTAAGACATTTCGATGGTTCCATTTTGAACACAAATGACTTTGTTTTATGGATTTAAGAAATTTTCGATTTTACACAAAGAAAGGTCGGTTCTATTATACGTTTCCAATGTTGATTGAAATGATTCCAGTCCCACCAGTTGGATCGATTGCACGATAAGCCGCAATTGGAGTGAATGACACTAAAAACATTACATGTAATGTACTCAGACATTACATGTCATGTGTCATATTATGGCATGAACCGTTTGTTGTGAATAATAAAAAACAGCTGATTGAACCGGCTCGCAAGATTTATTTACGTAGCAAAAATAGTGTCGTTGTAAAAATGCGGCTGATTTGTTGTTGGATTTTTCTCTTTACTTACGATTTTTTGTTCTTATTTCATTCCGTTTTAGGTATCCAATCAATAGAAAGACAAATCTCAAGAGGAAGGTGTGGAAAAACAGGATTTTTTTAGTAAACATTTTTTTCATGATTTTTTTTTGTGCATTTTTTTCATCCTCTTTGTTTTTCTTCTTCTTCAGGATACTTTCAAGTTACCAGTAAATCAGTAACCAGTACGAACCTAATGAGTGCCTAATTGACCACTTAACCAGACCTCAAATAAAAAAAATGTTCAAATTTTCGGAAGTCGTAACGAATCTCTACTTGAGATGTACATTAGCCGGTCTATCCGTAGACGAATCGTCGGAGATTTTCAATCTAAACATCAATTGTTTCGAGGAGTTATTCGAATGGTTGCCAATAGCTGATCTCTTTACGCTTCGTCAAACGTGCAAACACATGAAACACGTCGTCGACTATTTCATCCGAAGAAATTATCCGTCGATTCAAATTGGCTATAAAAAAATCGCCCTATTTACATCCGACCTAAAAGAGTTCCATCGTCTGGATCTCATCACGCTCAAGGCAATTCGAGAGATTTTCTTCTGGACCGAAGAGTTAACACTGGACGAAATCGATTCGGTAAAATGTATACTGCCTCAAATTGAGCGTCTATTCATCGGATGGCCAACGGAGGGTGAATTTTATGGTGCATTTTTACAGCATTGCACCAACATTAAATTCCTATCAATGAGTAAAAAATACAGCCCGAACGTTGAAAATGAATGGTTACTTCAGCAGTATCCAATGCTTGAGCAATTTGTGGTGAATGATTTCGATGTTGATGGGCCGGAATACGGTTGGCAAGTGCCTGAACTTCAGATATTCTTTCAACAAAATCCAAAATTACGCATTTTTTCAACGACACTACATTTTTTACGCGAAAATCAACAGTACTTTTTGGACACCAACATCACGTTGGATCGACTGGAAATTCAGGGGCATGGCCAAAACTTGGAGCCGACTTGTGATTTATTGAATACACTTTATGGGCAAGGATTTTTTAAGCAATTACATTTATATTTGATGGTTTTTACCGTATACGATCTTAATCAGACCGGTTCGTTGCGTGGCCTCGAAAAATTATACCTAGCCAATCGGTGTTTGGACGACAAAGATGAAATCATTTTACCGAAGCTAGAAAGTCTCAAGGAAATTGGATTTAATTATGGAAATAATGAAGACAAATTGGAATCGGTTGCAATGAATTTGACGAACATTGAACGTGTTTACTTTGAAAAAGCCACGTTGAATGATGTCTTACATTTTGTCCGGCATTCGAGGTGGGTCACATTAATTCATGTTGGGGAATTTATCCAATTTGGAGGTGCGGAAAATGAGGACAGAACCATTGATTTGGACGCTATTAATGAATACCGAAAAGCTCTGGTAGGGGCTACTAAGGTCACAATTCATGTTAATGAGGCAATTTTCTTGAGAACAAAGTACACAAGAACAACCAAGTTGGATATGGTTGAATTGAAACGCACCGAAGCATATAATTGGGAACATTTAACATTCTAATTTATTTTTAGCGCATTTTAGTTCCATTATGTGTCGCTTAGGATTTGAGTAGAATTTATGAGATGAAATTGGACATGCTGGCTGTATTAATGATTTACATTATTTTTTTAAGTCGCCAGATGTTTTACTTTTCCGCACACACCTAGTGTGTAAGAGGAAAGTATTTTAGAATCGCTATGGATCGTTCAATGTCAATCGAAAATGCTGCCAGGACATTTTTCTTTGCATCAGGAAACCATTTACTTCAATATCGATGATTGAGATCCGTAATAACATTTCTTTCAAGCGCATTATTAACAACAAAAACGAAATAGGTTCAACGCTTTTTCTAATTTCAAAACGTTTAAGCGGTGGACTTGATTCCAATTCAAGCATTGAGCATGAGGATCGAGGCGAAATAATACGGATGGAGCAATGTCCTTTATTTAATGGAATAATTATTTCGTAATCATCAAATGTATTGTATATCCCATATAAGACTTTGAGATTGAGATTTGAGAACAATAAAGAACATTTTCACGCAAACTTAGAACATAAGACAAAAATCAGAATTTTATTGTTTTAACTTTCTAATAATATTGATTTAAAAAAAAAGTTTGAATTCAAATTTTGATAAATCATGTTAATGAGTTGGGAGAATTTTTCACTCAAAATTCGTTTGATCGGACGTTAATTTCTTCGATACTAATGGATTTATACTGGAATATCAAGTCACTTGAACGGCAATTGTCATGTATTGGAAGCTGAACTGTCAAAACAATTGACTGTCAAATTAAAGACACATAACCACAGCTGAAATCAGTATCAAATTGAAATTTGTGCAGATCAGATGTCATAACGAATTCTACAAGCTGTATTTCACAAAACAATCGCCTAATAATTAAAACTATTCCACTTGAATCCATCACTAATAATTTGGAATTTCTCCAATTTTAAGGTAAAGTATATTTGAATATTTACTGTGGCGGCATTATCTTTGATGTGAATTCATTTTTCTTTTTTGATATTTTTGTTGACGATTTAATATCCAATAAAATTCTCCAATAAAATAAAATATAAAGGGGGCCTTCACAGTAAGAAAATATCAGTTATGTGTACCAGTCGGTTTTGCATATAGCGTCGGCTGATATTTTCTTACTGTGTTTCGTTTACTGTTTTATTTCAATCATACAGTAAATTATTTTTTGAAAAAAAAAAAAAACAATGTTGAAAATTTTACATTGTTAACAAATCTTGAGAGAGTTTTTGTTATTTTGTTATCCAAATGGTTTTATTAGACTCACGATCACCTTCACGACTATTTTAATTCAACGCCAATTGATTTAATTTATTTGTTTAAAAACTTTGCAGGGCAACCAATTGAAATACTGGTGTGAGTTCGTTTATCGAGTAAAATGACTGATGCAAAAGACGAAATTGGAAAGAATGCAGAAAATTGTGCTGCGAGAGAGGTGCAAAACCAATTAACAGCTACAGATGTCAATCAAGTAGCAGTAGTCGGTTCATCGATCAATCCATCACCAATTCAAAAACTGGAGATCGATTGCCTTGAGGAACTGTTTGAATGGCTTTCGATAGCCAATTTGCGTGTGCTTCGTCAAACGTGTAAACGCCTAAAAGGAGTTGTCGACTACTTTATCAAGTCCAACTATCCCTCCGTACAATTTGGTTTTGGTCCAATAAAATTGTACACCGAAAAAATCTATAAGCTTCGTGAACTTGATTCGGCCAGTCGTAAACTGATAAAACAAATTACGCTTTGGACAGAAGAACCAGATGAAATAAGTTCCATTCGTGATATTTTGCCACAGCTTGAGCGATTTGAAATTGGAAATTCATGCCAATTTCATGGCGATTTCTACAAGTCTGTCCTAAAATGGTGTACAAATCTAAAAAATCTTTCAATTCGTGATATCGCGGTGGATAAAGTGATTGGTGATGAAAACGATTGGTTACACAGTGAATATCCATTGATCAAACACATTGAACTGGACGACTCCGACATTGGCGGACCCGGTAATGCGTGGGAAATTCCAGAGCTAAAAATATTCTTCGAGAAAAATCCACAAATTCAATCATTTTCAACGACATTTCATTTTTTGTGGGAAAACCGTGAGTGTTATTTAGACTCAAACATAAAACTCGATCAGCTCAATATTCAAGGCGACTGTTACTTGGAACACGGAATGGATCGCATTTGTGGTTTGCTTAATACACTCTATGAACAAGGATTTTACCGACGCGTACACATGCATGCCTCATTCATTTACGAACAAGAGGATTGGGACCAAATACTTTCGGTGCGTGGAATGGAAAAATTGTATTTGGTCTCTGTGGGAATAGATATTAAATTTCCACCAATGAGTAATTTACGAGAATTTGGCACCAAATTTGGTAGCCAATTGGGCGATTATGAAACCATTGCAAAGAATCTAGTGAACGTTGAACGCATCTATTTCTATCAAATGAAGTCTGATACTTTTATACCATTTATGCGATTTGCACCGAGAGTTGAGGAAATAAAAATTGATAACTTATGCGAAGGGATTTATTTCAATGATGGCATTATCAATCTAACGGCGTTGAATGAAGAAAGAAAGACCTTGAATCGTGCCCGCAAAATTACAATTTATGTGAAGGAAAATGTTTTCTTGGCGACTAAATGGGCAACGAAAAGCACTGAATTGGATTTGATCACATTGAAACGGATCGAAGCAACGAGTTCAATATTTTAATAATAATTTTTTTCCCACCTACAGTTTTCAAAGAGAATAAATAAAGAATCGCATTTTATATTTTGGAGAAATTTTGCCTGAAAATAAATATATTTAAAAAAAAAATGACCACATTTGAGTTTTAATTCGAAAATTGTATTGTTGACACTTCGATTAATTTTAGATCATAACACCACCAGCGATTCTACGGTAAGCTTTTTTATTATCAATCGATCCTCAGCCAGCTCTGGCTGTTCTGCTCTGAGCAACAGTCTCTGGTGGAAATTCAACTGATCGGACGGTAGGTGTATTTTTATTCCAAACTGGAATATCACTTGAATTGGAAATGTCATTTATTGGAAACTGAACTGTCAAATCATTCATCTGTCACATCCACGACACAAATACTATTACACCGCAAAAGTCAGTATCACATTGAAATTTGTGCAAATCAGATGCATAACAAATTCTACAAGCTGTATTTCACAAAACAATCGTCTAATAATCTTTAGAAATATTCCACTTGGATCCATCGTTACCGTACAATAATTTGGAATTTCTTCAATTCTAAGGTAAAATACATTTTGAATTTATTTATGGTAATAATTTCATTAATTACAAAGCCAATCAAGTCGAATAAAAATGCAATTGCGTGACGATTTCTTTCAATGTCAAACTTCAGCATTGGCCTTTATCACATATTCGTTGAACAGTATTGTCGATTTGCCGAATATGTAAACAACTTTGAAAAGAGGCGAAATACTGTGATCTTGTTGATTTTCCTTACGTTTTTTTGCTATTTTCCCAAATGATTACTTCGCAATTTTTTTTAATTCCGCACCAATTAAATTAATTTGTTTGTTTAAAAAATTTGCAGGCCAAAAAATTGAAATACTGGGTGAATTTGTTGATCGATTGAAATCTGTTCAAAATGAGTGATGAAAACGAGGAAATTGGAAATGATGCTGAAAATTGTGCTCCGGGAGAGGTGCTAAACCAATTAATAGTAGTCGATCAAATATTAGTCGATCAATCGATCGATCCATCTCCAATTTTCAAACTGAATATCGATTGCCTTGAGGAACTGTTTGAATGGCTTTCGATAGCCGATTTATGTGCGCTTCGTCAAACATGCAAACGCTTAAAACGAGTTGTCGACTACTTTATCAAGTCCAACTATCCATCTGTACAATTTGGTTTCGGTCGTGTTGTATTGAGAAAGCATAAATCCGATAAGTTTCGTCAACTAGATGCCACTAGTTTAAAATTGATAAAACAAATTACGCTTTGGACAGGAGAATCACATGAAATAGGTTCTATTCGTGACATTTTGCCACAGTTAGAGAGATTCAAAATTGGTACCGGGGAGTTCGATGGCGATTTCTACAAGTCTGTCCTGAGGTGGTGTACAAATCTAAAAGATCTTTCAATTTGCCATATCATGGAGGATAAAGTAATTGGTAACGAAAACGAATGGTTACACCGTGAGTATCCGTTGATTGAGCACATTTTACTGGACGATTCCGACATTGGTGGACCCGGTAATGCGTGGGAAATTCCAGAGCTAAAAATATTCTTCGAGAAAAATCCAAAAATTCAATCATTTTCAACGACTTTTCATTTTTTGTGGGAAAACCGCCAGTGTTGGTTAGACTCAAACATAAAACTCGATCAGCTCAATATTCAAGGCGACTGTTTCTTAGAGAATGGAATGGATCGCATTTGTGGTTTGCTTAATACACTTTATGAACAAGGATTTTATCGACGCGTACACATGCGAGCCACATTCATTTACGAACAAGATGAATTGGACCAAATACTTTCAGTGCGCGGAATGCAAAAGTTGTATTTGGCCTGTGTTGAGATAAAGACTACATTGCCACCAATGACTGATTTACAAGAATTGGGCATTAACTACGATGGTGACTTTGACGATTTTGAAACCATTGCAAAGAATCTAGTGAACGTTGAACGCATCTATTTCAATCACATACAATCTGATACTTTAATACCGTTCATACGACATGCGCAGCGAGTAAGGGAAATTAAAATTGACCATTTGAACGAGGGGATTTGTTTTGAAAATGGTGTCATCAATTTAAAAGCATTGAACAAAGAACGAATGGCCTTGAATTGTGCCCGCAAAATTACAATTTATGTGAAGGAAAATATTTTCTTGGCAACTAAATGGGCAACGAATTGCACCGAGCTGGGTTTGGTCACATTGAAACGGATCGAAGCTATGACGTAAATGTGTATATTGAATAGCCAGTGTTCGCAACGAAGGCGATTTTTCGATTCCGACACCGAGCGACACCGAGACTATTCAATCCGATGCCGACCGATGCCGAAATTATTAAATCCGATACCGACCGTTCGCCGACCATCTTTTTTCGATGCTCGAAAATCGAACAAAATTTTATACAAAATGAAATAGAAATGAGAAAAAAATGACAATTGATAAAAAATCCATTCAATTTTTCAAAAAGTCGCGAACTCGGAAAAAACTCGGATGGCGAAATCATTCCGACGCCGACCGTTCTCCGAATACACGGCTTTTGTCTGCTGAATTTTTTCGGGAGTATTGTTTATATAACAAAAACTAAAAAATACAAGAAAAGTTGAAATGATTCACATTTTGGAGAAACTGACACTGATATATCGACACGATGAATAAATATTGATAACAATGAACAAAATTTGTGTTTTAATTTCGAGAAATAATTTTCAAATTTTATTGTATATGGGATCGTGACTTCCGAAAATAATGGACCATTCTTGGTTGAATATCAACTTTTGTTTACCTTTTTTTTGATTTTAAGAACAATTCCGCCATGAAACAGGATACTATATGCCAGCTGCACAAATTCCAAATGAAAAATGCTCTTTTTTATTGAATATTTATGGAATGTTTAACAAAAAAATTCTTTATTTTGACTTTAGCTTTTATTTCTAAGCTTAATTTAAGCTTCATTGCTTATGTTTATGGTTTTATGAACTTCATTGTTCTTCGATATGAATTTTTATGCTTTTTTTAATTATATTTTTTTATGTCAATATTATTTAATTTGTCTTATTGAACATAAATTCTCTATGATTGGTCATTATTGAAAATATTTCGACAAAGGTTTGTCTTTTTTTTAGGATAGGAAAAAATATATAAGAAAAAGAAAAATGATTAATTGTGATGAAAAAGGTGATGTTCGTCAAATCAAAAAAATGTTGTGGCAATCTAGGTGCGCTTGAATACTAGACGTTGTACCAGTCCAACTTTGGTGGTGTCGAACCCTTTATCCGGGTCTGGAATGAATCGTACTTTGGTGCCGTTCTTCAATTCGGTGAACTTTCTTAGTTCGGTTTGTGTGTAAATGTCGGCATGTGCAACGTCACCGCTCAATTCCAATGTGATTGTGTACACACGATTTGGTTCAATACGAATTGGACAGCATAATGGCACATGACTTTCTTCAACCGACGAGAGTGTTGTATTTGTAGAAAAAATGAGTTCGGTTTGGTTGGCTTTTGTTTCTTCGATGGTTACCGATGTTGGAATGAGGATTTTAATCTCGTTATCATTGACACTGTACACTTGGGCACAGTTGAACGAATGAAGCAAGAGAGGATAATTTGCCTCGAATTGGGTTTTTTCAACCTTTGGGATGTTGTAGCGCGTCACGGACTTTTGTACAATTCGATTGCAGTGCAATAGATCGTGTTTGTTGCGTTCATTACTGCCGCTACGGTTCTTAGTACTGGTTACGGTGGAAACACCGCCGCCACCACCACCAACAACGCTTCCACCGATAGAAGCACCACTGTTACCCGCAACATTTGCATCGCCATTGGCTGGAATACCCATCAAACGAAGTTTGCTGTTAAATTTTTCCGATTTGTAGTCACTCAACGTGATCATCTGAATGATTTCTTCCAGTTCCGGACCCGAGAAAAAACCACCATACGAACCAACAATCAACGTAAAACATTCCATGGTCATCGATTTAAAGCGAATTTCAAACAATAAATCGCCCAATTCGGCCCGTAGCACATGGGTATCGGTGCTGTCCAAATTCTTCTGGACGGCCGACGCTTTGGCCCTGTTATTTATTCAAAGAAAAAATGATAAGTTACTATTTGTTCCATTATAAATGTTCGAATCGCATGCATACCACATCAAACACCCAGTCAACACCTGTGATTCGTAGCATTTCAATGCATCGATTTGTAAAATGTGTTTCAGCACATCGCGATCACATTCGAGGAAACTTTTCGATTTGAGAACATCAGTTGCCGATTCGGTGATACGTCGTTCACAGTTCTTCTTCAAAATGGCACGATCATAACGAATGGCCAAACCATAGCCCCAGATGATATTTTCAGCAGTCAATTTATGGTCCAAATAATGGCTGCATATGGTTAGAAAATCCTCGTTCCCGTAGTCTTTGGCCAATCGTAGCACCACAGCAAAGTTTTCGAAGGTTAGTTTAACCTTCGGCATATAGAAAAACTGTAAGTATTCTTTGAACGCCGCGGTTGTGGTGTCGTCGAGCTTGAATTCGATTTGACCATCTTCGGCAGTGGCAAACAAATTATTAAAACCTTCACTGCCCGCAGACAGTATCAGTTTATGTGCCGGCACACGTTCCGATTCATTGTCACCGGTGCTGAACACAAAGAATATGTCGGCTGTTTCGTTGTTTAGGTACAACTTTTTCAATATTTGGACACACTGACGATTTTCCATTTCACCGTTCAATCGATCCAATCGGTCAGTCTGCTTATTACGACGATCCGACGATGGTTTATTGGTTCGATTTGGTTGCATTGCTCAAATCTAATTGAGAAACAAAAGGAATATATCCAATTGGTGACGACGGAAATAAAATCTAACCTCAAATCAAACTAACTGCACTCTCTACTGTAGTACATACGGCCGTACACAAACACAACGACAGCATTTAGTTGGTGTTTGATTTTAAAAAAACTCATTTTTACTTACTTTTCTCGTAAATTTCCAATTTCACAAGTCCGTCAACGATGATTTTTGCACAGAATTATCAGGTTTTTATCTGGTTCCGGTCGAATTTTCAAGAAAAATACAAAAAAAATGGGCTATTGTTAAATGACGAAAACACTTGCGGTACTTCTAAGCTCATGTACGCTCGGGATATGATGCCGATATGACAAATTAAAGTGCGCCACAATTGACAACTTTAATCGATGAGTACGTTTCATGCATTTCCACACAAATTGTACTCAATCGCTCGTTCACACAAACAATTTCAGTTTTAATATTTAAATTTCCGATTTTTTAATCGAAACAATGGAAAATGGATTTTGAATCGTTCTTTTAAATTTAAGGTAAGCACAATTTAACTCTATTCATTGCAGGCACGTGACATTTTTTTTAAACTATCAATTTAATAAATTTAAAGGGATCAAAATTATCTGAGATTATTGCATAAGAATTACGGAAAATTCTCAGGTTTTAAACGAGAGTGAAGAAGTGATGTGTGGTCGATAGAGACACTAACAGACACCTAGTCTATCTCACTCTCACACACAAATCAGATAATTTAATGGTGGAATTATTGGGAAATGAATTTTTTTTTACTTTTTTCTGATGTTTTGTAATTTTTCAATTGTTTGATGGAGTTTTCATGTAATCAAATGTTTGGTGAAAAAATGCGAAACAAAAAAAATAATGAAAAGGATATGACTACAAAAATGTGCCAAATATCTATATTTTCTCTTTCAGTTCAAAGTTTTCAAAACAGAGAATATTTATGTTCGAGACATTTCGAAAATTTGTATTTTGACTTGAGAAAAAAAATTTAAATCGAAAAGCATTCTAATCGGAAAAAAGAAAATCGTCGAGTATTTATTCGTTGGAAAAATTCAAACGATCGGTTCAAATTCGAAAATATCGCTTGAGCGTACTCAACTGTACTCAGTCGCAGATGTGGAGAATTGCATTGATGGGATATTTTGTGTGTAGAGTACAAAGTGCAGTTTGACATTTGTGGGATGACACGTCATTTCTGTGTTTTTATTTGTATCGACAAGTAGCTATTGCGTGTACGCTGCGTAAAAGTATTTCATTTTTTTTGTTTTTTGTTTTTAAAACCGACCGGAATATAAATTGTTTTAAGAAAATCCAAGAGGATATCTAAATAGAAGGGACAATCGTTGAAAGTTGTAAAATTTAAATTGAATTGAATAAGCAATAGCTGTGTGAGCAATAATCGGAACGCAATTGTTGGTAAGCTACGGAATGGAATTCTAACGGGAACATTTATTTGGCTTGATTTTTTCATGACAATCGCACAAATCGGACCACTAAATGGAGAGATTTTCTCGATTATTCTCAGACAGAAGTCCGTTATGTGTATTAAAGTGCAAATACCGAGCATTTTTTAGGTTTCGTGTGTGCAAAATTCCAAAGTCAAATGGTGACGTCATATACGCTGTGTTGCCATTTCTTCCTAGTGAGAGCATACAATTCGTCAAGATAGAGTTGTATTTGGGTCACATCGAAAATACCGACTCAAATAAACACACATTTAGTTTATTTGCAAAACTGTGAACTGCGAATAACGTCTGTGATTTGATTTATTAGAACTTTGTTGGGACCAATTCACTTTCCAAATGCTAAACTCCTGATTTCTCATTCGACACAACAATAACAGTATTGGGTTAATGTTCATTTAAGGCACGATGACCGAAAATTGGCAACGAACTCTAGCCAACTACTGGACAAACAGCCGAATTATAACAGAGGCAACGTTGCGATTGCTGAGAGATGAATTACGATGCATCGGAATGCCATTTGACGATAATTTCAAGGAATACTTTTTGAGAGTAACGAATTATGGGTGGGAAAATAATATTCTTTATTTATCATTCAAAATTCATAACCAATCGATTAAAACAATCGTTTCCGTTTATTTTTCACCATAGGATCGCTGAAACATGCGATAAATTTCTAAATGATGTCAGACTGGAAGAACAATTCATTGAATTTCTTTCTACAAATCAGGAATCGATCAACAAGAAGATGGCCACTGATGCAAGTAGTGGGACAGTAATCAACGTACCGAATAACTACCATCATCCAGCGACTGATACTAATGCTCCAATAATAAATCAAATGGTAAATTCAGTCGCCAATTGGTACACATTGCCATCATCTACGCCGTATCATGGTATGGTAAGCAATGTAGCATTTCAACCATTCACATCGAATTTGGACAACAATCGAATCAATTCAGAGAAGAAACGGAAGATTGCACCACGTTCAACATTGAAAACCATTCTTTCAGGTAAGATTTATGATCGTAGTGCGTGTCCAAAGAGTCTATTCAATCCAGAATGTTGTTATTTCCACACAGAATCGCCATCGATTGATCTGAGATCAGAAGAATCACGAAGTGCTAAGCAGTCAAAAAGCGTGGGTGCTCAACGGAGTCAACGAATTAAAACCAATTCAAATAGTGCTGAACAACAGAAAGGATCGACATCAAATGGAAAATCCAAAACAAAATGTGAGTTTTGTAACTATGTTGCCAGATTTCAATCACAACTGATAATACACACACGTATACATACTGGCGAGAAACCATTTGAATGCAATATTTGTACGAAAGGATTTATTCAAAAGAGCAGTCTGAATATGCACATAAGAATTCACGCAAAACAATTTCCATTTCATTGCTCGATTTGTCGACAAGGATTCACAGTGAAACAGGCAAAGGAGACTCACGTGAAAAACTGCAATCCACGACGATATGAATGTTACTTATGCAAATATTATACATTAAGGAAATCAAGCTTAGTCACGCATATGTGCATTCATACCGGTGAATTTCACTTTCAATGCAACATTTGTGCGAAAAGATTTATTCAAAAGCAACATCTGAAATCGCACATGAGAACTCATGCAAATCAATTCCCATTCCATTGCTCGATTTGTCGACAAGGATTCACGGTGAAATGGGAAAAGGAGATACACGAGAAAAATTGTAATCCACGGCGATTTGAATGTTACTTGTGCAAATATGCTACACCATTGAAATCAAACTTGGTTAGACATATGCGCATTCATACCGGATACAAACCATTCCGTTGCTCTCATTGCTCAGAACGATTCAATGTAAAATCCAATTTAAATTCGCATCAAAAACTTCATCACAACAAATCCAAGTAATTTTTGTTACAGACCGAATAGCTTTTATCCATTATTAAGTGTCTATAAACAAATTAAATGTAAATCTCGTGAATATATCACAAAAAGACAAGCAATTCTTGCCTTTTAGTCCAATTAAAAAGTCATTATTTTACGAGAGTCGAGCGCTATCCATATAAATACATTGTGACGTCACACATCTTACACAGAAACGACATCTTTGTAAAACAGACTAACTACAATGTAAAAGTATAGCGAGAGGGGAAGGGAGTAAATAAAAAGGGGAAACAGATACGTTTGATTTACATTGTAGTTAGTCGGTTATTAATAGATGGCGTTTATATAGTGTGCCCTTATTGCGCTTGACTCTCGTTATTTTATGAAGCTTAAGAAGAAAATAAGATCGAAAATATTACAATTGATTCTATTCTAATTGAATTGGAGTGTATTTGTGTCGGATATAAAATTATTCAGTTCAAAGAAATGTATTGTGAAGAAAAGGACGAATTATTGCAAATAATAAAAAGAAGCTACGAAACAAACTCATTTGTCTTTCTCATTTCATAGATAAATTTGTTTTATCCATGATTTTCTGAATTTATCAGAATGGATCGAAATGGATTGAATGTATTGTCATTGCAGCATAACATAATGATTTTCTTGAGTAAATATCAATGTCGTTATTTCTCTTTGAATAGCGAATATGAAAAATGTTGCTATTTGCATTGTGAGAAACAAAAAAATCCAACAATTAAGTGGTACACAGAATACGGTACTTGGCTTTGAGCTTGTCATCGAATTCAGATTGAAGTTTAAAAAAAATTCGCGAGTTTCTCTTTGGTAGGAAATATGAAAAAGAAGCATATGCTTATCATCCATTGTTTCTGTTTGAAAATCACTTGTTTCCATCTTTTGAAACACGAAACAAAGAAAGTGTTTCTATTAACCACACTTATTTATTATTATTATTATTATAACACTCAAAAATATGTATTGGGGGTTTTTTGGCACGAGATAACCGAATCCGAGGTTAGTTTTGAGATAAAATCAATTTTTGATCAGTGATGGTTTTTTCCTATCTGAATAGCTCTAGCTATTCGCAGGGTCTGAACAGCATTGCTGCCCAGATGCTGAATCGAAGCGGTTGCCGCACGCGTTTTGTACCACACAACATATTGTCATATAGTCTAAGTAACCAGTGAGCTCACAGAGTATGATACACTAATACCATAGTCAGTATACAAACGCATCTCGAACAGAGAACGAGCGCGAACGTATATGCTCTGTGTGGTACAAACGAAGTGTGTTGCGCGTGAGGCAACCGCTACGATTCAGCATCTGGACAGCAATGCTGTACAGACGCTGTGAATAGCTATAGCACTATTACAACAACAACAACAACAACAATCATTTATAGACCGATTGTACCTTTCGGTGTGTGGTCTTTTACGAAACGACTAGACTCGAATTCCTCTAACAATTCCTCTCCAAACTTCCCTATCGAGAGCCAGGTCTTGAGTTTCTCTACACCAATCATACCCTCTAACATTCAAATCACATTTAACCGAATCCAAATAACGTCTACGGGGTCTTCCCCTGTTTCTCGGTCCATCTGCTTCGGCATACAAAATCTTCTTTGGTAAACGCAACTCACCCATACGTTGGACATGTCCAAACCATCTCAGTCTCGACATTCTTGCAACTTCATCCACCGACACAACATTCAAATCATCTCGAATTCTCTCATTTCTTATACGATTTTCCCATTGGTCTCTGCGCGATACTCCTGAAATCATTCGCAAAACTTTCATATCAGCCACTTCCAAACCATGGATTAAATTTTGAGAATCGACCCAGCTCTCGCTTCCGTAAAGGATAGTTGGTCTGAAGATTGACTGATGAATCAACAATTTCGTCTCCTTACTCAACTCACGCTTACTGAAAACGTGTGATCTAAGCTGTGCTACTACCTTATTTCCATTCATTCTACGTTGTTCAAACTCTTTGTCAAACTTGCCATCTTCAGAGAAGATGCAACCCAAGTACTTGAATTGTGACACTTGTTCAAGCAAGTTTCCATTCAGTTCACACTGGATAGTTTTACGAGTTTTGCCCACATGCATAACCTGGGTTTTTGAACTGCTAATGGTCATTCCAAAGTCTATACAAGCCGTTTGTAAGTCTCTGACACTATTCTGTAGCTCCTGTTCAGAACTACCGAAAAGTACCAAATCATCTGCGAAAAGTACCAAATCATCCTGTTCAGAACTACCGAAAAGTACGAAAAAGTATCAAAAATAGCACTATTCAGATAGGAAAAAACCATCACTGTTTTTGATAAAGTTTCTTTGAAAAAACCGCAAAAAAATGTGGATTTTACCTTTCCGCAGACATAGTGTAAGGTGAAAAGTATTGTAATCGGTCAAAATTTTGAAAACTTCAGAAACATGTTTTCTGGACGTTTCTGAGGTCAGACAACCCGAATTTGGCGTTTTTAAACATGGTTTTTGTTAATCTGTACGTCGTACGTTGTACGTTGTACGTTGTACGTTGTACGTCGTACTCAAAATTTGTTAGCAAGATTGCGCTCATCTTAGAATCTTAATTCAAAATCTGACTTTACAGGATGATTGGGGGTCGCGAGGAATAGAAATCATTAGATTTTGAGCGATTTTGGTTGATGGAAAAAAATGTGATGCCTGTAGTGATACCTATGAAAAAGAGTCCAATTTTCGTCCAAGAAACATACTTTATGTAGACTCAAACACTCAAAAATATGTATTGGGGGGTTTTTTGGCACGAGAAAACCGAATCCGAGGTTAGTTTTGAGATACAATCAACTTTTGATACAGTTTCCTTGAAAAAATCACAAAAAAATTGAATTTTTGTATGGAAGCCATGCCTGTATGCTACCTTAATGACGTGAAACTTTGCACAGACTATTTTTTACACAAAAATATAACATTCTGAAAGTTTGAAGAGATTTCAATCAAAATTATGCTCAAAAACGAATATTTTGTATGGGAGGTACTCTTAATTTTGGTTGAAATTTCTCCAAACCCTCCGAATGTTATTTTTTTGTGAAAAAAATAATCTGTACAAAGTTTCACGCCATTGAGATAGCATACAGACTGGCTCCCATACAAAAATCCAAATTTTTTGTGACTTTAGTTATGAAAAGTTTTTCAAAAATAATTTTTATGGCAAAATTAACGTCAGACATATTTTTCATGGTGTTTTGTTGGAAAATAGAATACTTTCAAATTTCATACAAATGAGTTCATCATGAAAGTGTGAAAAATCTTTCCTCGAGTACTTTTGCTATTAAATTAAAGAATATTTCGATGCCAAGGTTTGAACATATTTTTTGGTCTCGACCTTTACGCCGTTTGAAAGGCTTGAAAAATCGAATAAATATTATTTTGAACTAGCTTAATAAAATACGCATCTACCACCGTGCGGAAAAGTTCGTCTTACTCCCGTAAGACTCTATATTTGTTTGAAAATTGACGTCTATTTTAAAGCAACCGTATAATAAATTTTATTCAAAACGCAAAATTCAAAATTAATCAAAACGCCACTTTATTTTCATTAGTCGTGTTCAACTTTATTCTTCAATTCTTATTCTTTCAAATAAAAATCCATCAAAATGATCATTAAATTCGGTAATGTTCCATTTATTTTCCAATTCTTTTTTTAAATATTCTCCATCATCTTCATTGAAATTCTTCGATCCGTACGTGAATCTCTGCAGTTTGTAAAACCAATTAATTTCAACAAACTTCACGATTTCGCTAAATGAAATGTTGTTGTTACTCAAAATGGAAAATTCTTCAACCTCCATCAGCTGTGACCCAAGACTTTTCAATGAAAAATATTTCTCATTTTCTGCATCATCTTCGATGTAAACACGCTTTAAATGCGGATTGTTTGTAAAGAAATCGATCCATTCTCGTTCGTGTTTGGCATTATACTTCAATCTCACTTCCTGTAAATTTGAAAAGGAAATTTTTGTCGGCGAACCAATAGGCGGTGATAAGAATTCAAATTTTTTCACATCTCTAAATTTAAAGATAATGGGCGCACTCAGGTTAAAATGCCAAATCGCCAAACTTTCAATCTTCTTTAGATACTTTTCCACAACGTTCAAATAGTCAGGTGGATAATAAACCAACTTTAAACTTGTAATGTTGTGATTTTTTCGAATTAAACGTTCGGTATACACATATTTTGTATTTTTTTGGTTGTCATCGAGTTCTACCACATCACCAATCAAGTTTAAATTTTCCAAATGCGGCAAATGATCTACGAAATTGGTGTTTGTGTCGGACTCTATAATTAACGTTAAATTTCTTATGTTTGGAAAGATACTGTTCAATGAATTATGATTGCGAATCGCAACCTCTGTGACATCAATAACATTGCATGTAAAATCTTCAACCTTTTCAAAGGGACCGGACAATTTTTTCAACGTATCACCATTCGTTATCTCCAAGCTCAATTTATTCAACGACAGTTTACAATATTTATCAACAAGTTCCAATATGTCGTCCTCTTTATTTATCCAAAAGTGTTGAGTTTGAATCGTTAGCTTTTGAATGGCACGACCAAAGTGTTTAAGTATTTTCCTCGTAGTGTTCAATCCAAGCATTAAAATCGTTTCGTTGTTCATAAGAATGAGATCGGTTTTTGTATCACCATTATGGTCGATTTTTACGGTGTAGTTTGCATATTTTTGCTTGAATACATCGGACGCTATAAGAGAAAGTCTGTTTTTCTTTTTAGCTAACTCGAGCAAACCTTCTAAGTCCAAACTCATCAAAAGTGTTTGACATTCCAATGTGAATTCGGCTAGTTCAGTTTTATTATCTCGAAAATTACACAAAGGTGATTTCAGAAGTTCACTCACATTTTGCGCTTCGATCAATTTTAAATTCTAATTTGTATTTGGAGAGAAATAAATTAATTTTGATAATTTTTTGGACGAAAAATAGCAACTCACGTCTGGTTCGGTTATATTAACACCCACATTCGATGTAGTTACGTTACCATCGTTTGAAAAGTGTTTACTCAACAACGACAACAATGGCAAAATATCAAGCCACATGACTATTTCCTTTTATTCTTTTTTCGACGCCGTGCGTATTGCGTTTATTTGACTAAGTTCAGTTTGTTGTTTGTGACACAAATAAAACGAAATCTTATCACACTTCGAGTCGAGACTTTTAAGCACAGACTCATCGAATACGTTTAAATTTAATTCAATTTTAACGCGCTGCTTATAGAACTAACAATTTTTACTGATTTATACTCGCCTTAACAAAATCACAGTTTTTTTGTGCGAAGAAATAAACAACATAATCGAAAAATAATCAGTGGAAATGATGTCAGTAACAGTAGCAATTTTTGTATTGTATCATTCGACACTGATTGACCAGCTATTGAGTAAGAATTCAGGAAGATTAAGATGTTTTGTTTATGGTAACGTAACATCGCTCTCTCGTTGATTTCATATTGGAGAGGAAGAGAGAAACGAAAAAAATCACTTAAAATGAACAGATATGTTGTTGTTTAAACGATTATTTCTATCAGTCTGAACTGTCATACAAAATCAACGAGAGGCTATGTTTTTTGTACCCAATATGACGGGTGTATGAATTAGTTTCCATCGTTTTTTGTTTGAAAATTGACGTCTATTTTAAAGCAACCGTATAATAAATTTTATTCAAAATGCAAAATTCAAAATTTATCAAAACGCCACTTTATTTTCATTAGTCGTGTTCAACTTAATTCTTCAATTTTTATTCTTTCAAATAAAAATCCATCAAAATGATCATTAAATTCGGTAATGTTCCATTTATTTTCCAATTCTTTTTTTAAATATTCTCCATCATTTTCATTGAAATTCTTCGATCCGTACGTGAATCTCTGCAGTTTGTAAAACCAATTAATTTCAACAAACTTCACGATTTCGCTAAATGGAATGTTGTTGTTACTCAAAATGGACAATTCTTCAACCTCCATCAGCTGTGACCCAAGACTTTCCAATGAAAAATATTTCTCATTTTCTGCATCATCTTCGATGTAAACACGCTTTAAATGCCGATTGTTTGTAAAGAAATCGATCCATTCTCGTTCGTGTTTGGCATTATACTTCAATCTCACTTCCTGTAAATTTGAAAAGGACATTTTTTTCGGCGAACCAATAGGCGGTGATAAGAATTCAAGCTTTTTCACAGATGTAAAGTAAATGTGCGTACTCAAATCAAAATGCCAAATCGCCAAACTTTCAATATTCCATAAATAAATTCGCACAACGTTCAAATAGTCCGGTGGATAAAAAACCAACTTTAAACTTGTAATGTTGTGATTTTTTTGAAATAATCTTTCGGTATACAAATATTTTGTATTTTTTCGGTTGTTATCCAGTTCTATCACATCGCCGATCAAGTTTAAATTTTCCAAATTCGGCAAAACGCCCACAAAATCAGTGTTTCTATCGGACTGTATAATTAACGTTAAATTTCTTATGTTTGGAAAGATACTGTTCAATGAATTATGATTGCGAATCGCAACCTCTGTGACATCAATGACATTGCATGTAAAATCTTCAACCTTTTCAAAGGGACTGGTCAATTTTTTCAATGTATCACCATTCGTTATCTCCAAGCTCAATTTATTCAACGACAGTTTACAGTATTCATCAACAAACCCCAATATGATCTCCTGTTCAGGAACCGAAAAGCGCTGAGTTTGAATCGTTAGCTTTTGAATGGCACGACCAAAGTGTTTTAGTATTTTCCTCGTAGTGTTCAATCCGAGCATTAAAATCGTTTCGTTGTTCATAAGAATGAGATCGGTTTTTCTATCACCATTATGGTCGATTTTTACGGTGTAGTTTGCGTATTTTTGATTAAAAACATCCGACGCCAGAAGAGAAAGTGTGTTGTTCATCTGTTCAGCTAACTCGAGCAAACCTTCCAAGTCCAAAGTCATCAAGAGTGTTTGACATGCCAATGGGAATGCGGCTAGTTCAGTTTTAGTTTCTCGAAAATTACACGCGGGTGTTTTCAGAAGTTCACTCACATTTTGCACTTTGATCAATTTTAAATTCTAATTTGTATTTGGAGAGAAATAAATTAATTTTGATAATTTTTTGGACGAAAAAATTGAAACTCACATTTGCTTCGATTTTATTAACATCCCCATTCGATGTAGCCACGTTACCATCGTTTGAAAAGTGTTTACTCAACAACGACAACAATGGCAAAATATCAAGCCACATGACTATTTCCTTTTATTCTTTTTTCGACGCCGTGCGTATTGCGTTTATTTGACTAAGTTCAGTTTGTTGTTTGTGACACAAGAAATCTTATCACACTTCGAGTCGAGGCTGATTCAAAAACATTTAAATCTCATTAAACGCGCTGCTTAAGGAACCAACCATTTTTACCGCCTTATCAAAATCACAGTGTTTTTTCGAAGAAGTAAACAACATAATCGAAATATAATCAGTGGAAATGATGTCGGTATTGGAACGATACGTGTAAAAAGAATGAACGAACGATAGTGCAGTCAGTATGAATTGTCTAGCTCATTTATTGTTACAGTAACAGTAAAGAATTTTGTAGTGTATCATTCGACACTGATTTACCAGCTATTGAGAGAGAATTGCAATCAACCAATTGCGGTCATGGTTGTGTAAATAGTGCCGAACTATGGAAGAAAACGAAGAGAAAATAACAAAGAAGAATCACCGGCAAGAAACATTCCTTACGAGATTTATATGGAGCACATCTTCGATCTTTGGCTCATTGATAATGTCAACAAAATTCACCAAAACATCAACGTATCCAAATACATTGACTACTTGTTTGAATGCCGTTTCGATTTCTGATCTATTACGAACATCGACTCGATGGAATAAAGCGGTTGCTTTTGGAAATGATGTTTCAATCGCATCGATGGCAGCACTCGGGTCGATTACATCAAATATGGCAATTTTCTATGCAATCAAAATGAATATTGTGAAGAATACGGCCTCGAATTATGGTTTTGGAGATAAAACCTGAACACCAATTGCTAAAAGATCTTTAACAAACGCTAAGCCCATACTCTTCTCTCGTCCACCGCCGACGACAACAAAACTTTGCTCTTCGAAATTCATTTTGCAACTAAATGTTTTGAATTCAGTTTTTTTTTTTTTTGTTTTCAAATTTAATCAGTCCAATGACTTTTTTTAATATGCTATCGCCTTTTATGGCTCACATACGCTAGATTATTTAATTAGTGCTCGAAAGTATGTTGAAGTGCGTTGTCAATGGAAACGCTTGATATATTTGAAGGAACGCTGATAACACCAAATCTAATTACAATGATCACACTCGATTCACGTTCATTGCGGTTTATTTGTGGAGATACTCTTGAACATGATGTCTTCTTGTTTATATCGATTAGTGGGATGGAAAAGAAAGCACTTTTAGGTCAGAGCATGAAATCGGTACTCACGAACTGTGCGCTACCATCTCTGTGTTTGATTATTATCGCTTAACGTTTATGTGTTTTTTTGGGTATGAATGCTGCACTAATACGAACTCAGGTGCGGCTCTTGGCGCCACTTAGGTAATACGCTTGCTAAGCAGGTTCTTCTCAAGTTCAATTGTTCAAATTCAGCTTGACTTATTTTTTGCCAGGTGGCCTTTTATTTATTCAATTTGTTCTTAATTAATTATTTCTCTATTTGCTTCCCAAACAATCCTTACAAAAAAATCATCAACTGTTTATTTATTTATGTGGCGCTCATTTATTTTAATCGGGATTTGGTGGTTCTGTCAATATTGTTCCAAAAAGAACAAATTTAAAAATAATTTGCACAAATGTCTGGCAAAATTGTGGCCAATTAATATTCCTGTTTGAATTTGTGCGGAATTTTTTCATCAAAACATCCGAATATCGATGTATTTACACAAATGACACGAAAATCTTGTGCAAATTCTGTATAAAATCTCAATGGACTATTGAAGAAATCGATCAGTTTAGTTTGGATCGTTAAGCATTTAAATTGGAAGAGATCAATATGAAGTTTTCTATCTGGGTATTAATTGGTATCGTCGCTGTTGTTAGAGCTGAACCTTTACTTAGTTTGCAAATTGGAAGCCAAACACGTTTATCAGGTGTACCGGGGTTATTCAAACTACTTGACGATTTGTTGGACCTTGATGATGAAAATGACATCGGCTGGGGTAGTGATAACTGCTGGAGTTGAACGAGCATTTCAAACAACGGTACCTCTGAAGGAAGCTGATTGATTGGCACCGAAGTAATAAATAACAAATAAATTGATGAACGAATTGTAATGATCAGTTTTCGGATTTTGTGATATTATACTTATCAAAAAGAACTCTTCAAAATTCACTATGAGTGAACATTTTCGTTCGTACAAACAAATATTGACATCTCTAGTACCTCGGGCTCAATTAAATGTAAAACAAATGGAATTTTTATCAAAAATATTTATTTGGATTATTAAAAAGATAACAAAGTGTTCATATTCGAGTTAATTGATAAAAACAAAAATTCGATTTAAAAATTTATTTTGCGACGGAAATTTCTGTGCAATTTTCCAAATACTATGAATTATTATACAATACGATGAACATATGATGATTTTCGTTGAATGTTAACCCATTTGCAATTTTCGTTTAAATGATTTTCGTTCACATCATTGGTAATAATAAAGATGGTGATCATGCATCGTCCTTCAGCCAGTGCCGCCATTTCTTTATAATCATTTGCATCGACGTTCAAATCAAGTGAATAAATCTGTAGTGTTGTTAATTTCTTTCCCCATGTCAATATTCGTATAATACCTTGTGCTGTAAAATCTTCAACGATAATTGATAAATATTCCAATGATGACATTTTGGCCATTTCTATAGCGTGAGCTTCGGAAAGTGTTGGTACAATCAAGGCCAAATGTTTCAACGTCTTCAGTTTGGCTACGGCATCTACGCAATCGTCATCGGCACCCTCAAGTACAAGCTTTTCAAGTGGTACATTCTGTTTAACCATTAAATTGATTAATGTTCTCGCTGAATAATGGCGACCAATCAAACTCAACGCTTTCAATTTTCGTAATTTTACCAAAAACAAAATGTTGTTTTCAAATTCAATGCCTTTACCCTTACTCGTTGCGAACGTGAATTCGGTTAAATCTGGCACATGAGCCACAAGTTCCGGCAGGACATGGCTTGTGATTTCTTGGCAACAATTTATTTTCAATTTATTAATTTGTGGATTCATTTCCAAGAAATTTAGCAGAGCTTGGTTATCCATGCGTTTCATGTCGAAAAATTCAACATTCGTCAATGCTGGCACATGATGAAACATCCAACCGAAATTTAACACAGTTACTCGTCTCAGAATCAATTCTTTTAGCTTCGAATTTAAATTGAAATTGAATAATCTGCCATAGTTTATTTCCAATCGTTCCAATGACTTAAATTCACTTTGGAACCAAATCACATTGGTAGAATTGATATTGAATTTACCATTTGGAGCTCTTTTGATCCGTGAACTTCCACCGTGAATTACAAACTCGGTTAATGTATGACGACAGTATTTTGCAATCATTTTTAATGCATTTCTTCCGTAAGTTTGATAATCTTTGCAATTCAACCATTTGATCGAACGAATCTGATTACCGAAATTCGGAAAACAAAGTGGTATATTTTCCGCACCAATCGCATTTGGACGTTTTAAATTGTCATCGATGCAAATCTTTTTATACTTTCGGCGAAAGCACATTATGGCGTTTTCTTCATAACGCACACATGTCTCTGATGCACGAATGAAATCACGCAACGTTGGCAACCGCAATAAAACCTCTTGCACACAATCGTCATTAAGTGCATTCATAATGTGACAGCACGAATCTTGGGCTGGTGGAGCTTCCATTGTTTTTGGTTCTTTTAAATGTAGTTCGAACTTCTTTCTTCGATATTAATTTTTAAAATATTAAAACAAATTTTGGTCGTTTTTATACTTGAAAAAGATTTCAATTTTTTTCTTTAATCGAAATCGACTTTTTAGCCAGAAAAAATGGTTTTCTCCTCGAAATTGACTTTTTTGACACCTTCCGATTCTACTTTTTACTCTTATTTCTTTTTTTTTTCTTTTTTTAACTTTTTTTCTGATTGCTCAACTTCACTTCTTAAGTCTCAATTTTTATCAAAGAAAATCTTCCGAAAAAAAATCTGAATAAATTTGTGTCTTAGAAAAGATGCTTGTGAATTCTCCAAATGTAAGTGGCGATAGCACAAAATGAAATGTGATGAATTCTCGAATGCACCGTAATTTAAGTAAAAAATCCTGACTTCAAACGCTCATTAAGAAATCATACAAAATTACGTTTTTAGAGGACATTGCATACATCTTATTAATTTGGCCTAATTATCTATTCTTAATTATCTATAATTAAGAATTAGAAAAAGACCAGTTATTACTTATTATTAAGAAAAATGTTGGAAATTGTTTCTTTGAGCTGTGATTTTTTTTACCTGCGTAAAATTCATTAACCATTAATTACGTTCTAAAGAAAAAAATCGAAATCATTTCTGAGAAATTTTGCTCGCACATACTATGCATAATTATCTATAATTTGTTGGAGAAAAAACCAACAAATGTTTGACTTAAGGAAAATATATTTCTTAAGATGAAGAAGAAAATGAAGTAAAAGGCGGAAAACAATTTAGTTATTAACTGAGAATCAAACTCAAAATGAAAAAGCATTAAATGATTTGATCATTGAAATGAACTCTTTCTTCCAATGTCTTATACTATGGAAGTATTTACTTGGATGTTATGAAAGTGGATAATTTTATTTTTCAGTTTGATGAAAAGTTTAATAACTTCTCAGAAGAAACCTATAAATCGACTTCAAGAAAGAGTTAATATCAATCATTAGCATCTCTGAACAGAAAAAAACTTGACACCTTCATCAAAATTTTCAACTGTTGCGGAATATTATCCATTTTCTCTCTCTATTTTCAAAACAAGTGTCCTTGTATTATTTTGGTATTTCACAAAATTTACGAAACCTCAAAAACATGTTTTCTGGACGTTTCTGAGGTCGGGCCGTTTTGAGCATGGTTGGTGTGGGTCTGTTCCACGTCGTACGTCGTACGTCGTACGTTGTCCGCCGTACGCAAAATTTGTCCATCGATTATCTCACCCCCCAGAAAAGTTATTTAAAATCTGGCTGTACAGGATGATTGGGGGTCCCGAGGAATAGAAATCATTAGATTTTGAGCGATTTTGATTGATGGAAAAAAATGTTTGTGAAAAAAATAACCTGTGCAAAGTTTCACGTGCTTACGCTACCATACATGTATGATTCCCATGCAAAAATCTATTTTGTTTTACTTTTGTATGAAAAGTGTTTCAAAAATAATGTTTATGGCAAAATTAACGTCAGATATATTTTTTATAGTGTTTTATAGAAAATAGAATTCTTTCAAATGTCGTACAAATGGGTTCATCATGAAGTGTGAAAAATCTTTTCTCGAGTACTTCTGCTATTAAATAAAAGAATATTTCGATGCCGAACGCTTGAAAGGCTTGAAAGGCTTGAAAAATCGAACAAATATTATTTCGAAATAGCTTAATAGAATACGCATCTACCACCGTGCGGAAAAGTTCGTCTTACTCCTGTAAGACTCTTTTTGAATTAAGTTTCTAAGATTAGCGCAATCTAGCTAACAAATTTTGCGTACGGCGGACAACGTACAACGTACGACGTACATATTAACAAAAACCATGTTTAAAAACGCCAAATTCGTGTTCTTTGACCTCAATAATAGGTAGAAAACATGTTTCTGAAGTTCTCAAAATTTTGACCGATTACAATACTTTTCACCTTACACTATGTCTGCGGAAAAGTAATAGCGCTATTTAACGCAGCTCTTCGTTCTGACACTGCGTATACTCGACATAACAATGGTGTCATTGTTTTGAAATGATTTAAAATGTTAAATGTTTCAAACAATGAGACCATTGTTATGTCCAGTTTACACAGCGTCAGAGCGAATAGATGCGTTAAATAGCAGCTATTTTTATATCGATAGCAATAGCTGATATAAATAGCTAGCTAGCAGTATTCTATGGCTAGCAACCTTTTTATCACAAAAAATGCCCTTTGATCCTTAATATGCAACACTTTTTCAAGCCTATTCTCTGAATATCCTCTACTTCCAAGCAACGGCTTTCATTTATTCGTTGGAAAAATTCAAACGATCGGGACACATTCGAAAGTATCGCTTGAGCGTACTTAACTGTACTCAGTCGGAGATGTGGAGAGTGTTGGGATATTTTGTGTGTAGAGTACAAAGTGCAGTTTGACATTTGATGAATGACACGTCATTTCTGTGTTTTTATTGGTATCGACAACTAGCTATTGTATGTACGCTGTGTAAAAGATTTTAGTTTTTTGTTTTATTTGTTTTTAAAATCGACCAAAATATATAATATTGTCTGCTGAAAATCCAAGAGGATATCTAAATATAACGAACAGTCGTTGGATTTACTGGAAAAATTTGTGAAGCAATAATCGGAAGGCAATTGTGGGTAAGCAACGGAACACTAACGGGAACACTGATTCCTCTCGATATTCGCATGAGAATTGCACAAATTGGACCATTAAATAGACGGATTTTCTCTATTAGTCTCAGACAGAAGCCCATTTTGTGTATTAAAGTGCAAAGATCGAACATTTTTTAGGTTTAGTGCGTGTGCATATTCTATAGTGACGTCATATGCGCTGTGGAAAAAGTTGTTATTTCTTTGTGTGAGAGCATAAAACACGTCAAGATAAAGTTGTATGCGGATGTTTACACACATCGACAATACCGACTCACACAAACTGCGAAAAGTGTCTTTGATTTGATTTATTAGAGCCTTGTTGGGACCAATTCACTTTCCAAATGCCAAACTCCTGATTTCTCATTCGACACAACAATAATGGAATTTCGTTATTATTCATTTAAGGAACGATGACCGAAACTTGGCAAAGAATTCTAGCCAACTACTGGATAACCACTCGAATTGAAACAGAGGCAACGTTGCAATTGCTGAGACATGAATTACGATACACCGGAATGCCATTTGACGATAATTTCAAGGAATACTTTTTGCAAGAAACGAATTATCGGTGTGAAAATGATATCCTTTATCAGTTCAAATTCATAACCAATCGATTAAAACAATTGTGTCCGTGTTATTTTCTCCATAGGATCGCTAAGACGTGCGAAAAATTTCTAAATGATGTCAGACTGGATGAGCAATTTATTGAATTTCTTTTTCAAAATCAGGAATCGACCAACCAGAATACGACCACCGATGAAAGCGTTGAGGAAGAAGTCAACGCACCGAATAACTACCATCAGCCAGCGACTGACACTATTACTCCAATAACAAATCAAATGGAAAATTCAGTCGCTGATTGGTACACATTGCCATCATCTACGCCGTATCATGGTATGGTAAGCAGTGCAATATTTCAACCATTCACATTGAATTTGGGCAACAACATCGATCCGAACAATGTCACTGGATCAGTCAATGTAGTTATTGACAACGAACCAATTTTGCCCGCCCAAGTCAACGGATGTCAAGCGACTATTTCGAGTGGAATTGATCAGAATGAGATCGGAATCGGTATTGACAACCCAATCGAAACATCAAATAAAGGAATGGCAGTGGGTAGCCATGCACCCACTTCTACACAGCCAACCATTGATATGAATGCTATGAATGAACATCAATGGATGCCAACAATGACACCATTCCATGGATTATCTGAGGCATACATCATCCCGGGCGATGGAACACTTCAACAATTTGCATCGTTTCCGTGTAATAACATCGATTCGAACAACATGACAGCATCATTTGGAGCCATATTCGACAACGACTCAATGCCCGCACAGGTCGGCGAGTCTCAAGTCACTCTTACAAATCGAATGGGCATTAGTCGAGATGACATGCGAAATAACCTAGAGATCAACGATATGGCCAATAAAATGGTGGTAAATGGTCCAGAATATTGTTATTCCGACATTCGATCACTATTGATTGATATTAGAGAAGGGAAATCAGGATGCGTTAAGCTGTTAGAAAGCGCGGGTGCTCAACCGAGTCGACGGATTAAAACCAATTCAAATGGTGCTGAAAAACAGAATGGATCAACATCAAATGGAAAATCCGATAAAAAATGTGAATTTTGTACTTATGTGACCAAACGTCCATCACAGCTGATAATACACACACGCAAACACACTGGCGAGAAACCATTTCAATGCAACATTTGTGCGAAAAGATTTACTCGAATGTGTTATCTGAACAAGCATATAAGAACTCACGACCAATTCCCATTCCACTCCTCGATTTTTCGACGAGGATTCACGGTGAAACGGGCAACGAAGACTCATGAGAAAAGCTGCAATCCACGACGATTTGAATGTTACTTGTGCAAATATGCTACACCATTGAAATCAAACTTGGTTACGCATATGGGCATTCATACCGGATACAAACCATTCCGTTGTTCTCATTGCTCAGCACGATTCGTTGCAAAATCTAATTTAAATTCGCATCAAAAACGTCATAACAACGAATCCAAGTAATTTTTGTTATAGACCGGTCAGCTTTTATCCATTGTAAAATGTCTATAAACAAATTAAATGTAAGTCTCGTTGATATATCACAAAAAGACATACAATTCTTGCCATTTATTCGAATTGAAAAGTCATTATTTCTATGAAGCTCAGAAAATAAGATTGAAAATGTTACAATCTATTGTATTCTAATTGAAATGGAGTGTATTTGTGTCGAAATAGAATTATTCAGTTCAAAGAAATTTATTATGAGGAAAATGACGAATTATTGCAAATAATAAAAAGAAGCTACGAAAAGAACTCATGTGTCTTTCTCATTTAATTGATAAATTTGTCCTTCAATATTACTATTTTATCCATGATTTTGGGAATTTATCAGAATGGATCGAAATGGAGTGAATGAATTGTCATCTCAGCATAAAATAATGGTTCTCTTGAGTAAATATCAATGATTTTATTTCTCTTCGAATAGTGAGAAACAAACAAATCCAAAAATTCACTTGTTCACAGAATACGGTATTTCGCTTTGACCTTATGTCATCGAATTCAGATTAAAGTTTGAAAAAATCGTGAGTTTCTCTTTGGTAGAAAATATGAAAAAGCAACATATGCTTCTCATCCATTGTTTCTGTTTGAATATCACTTGTTTCCATCTTTTGAAAAAGAAACCAAGAAAAAGTTTCGATTAACCTTGTTTGTGGTTGTTGTGAAAATTCGGTGATGCACAAATAAAGTCAATCTCGTTTGTTCCTTTTCGAACCGCCTGTTCATATACGTGATTGTGGTTCACCTTTTTGCTTTGAATCGTAACAAGGGCCCCTTGATCCTTAATGCCGAGCAATATCCTTTACTTCTCAGGAAAGGGTTGCATTTAGTCGTTGGAAAAATTCAAACGATCGGTTCACATTCGAAAGTATCGCTTGAGCGTACTTAACTGTACTCAGTCGGAGATGTGGAGAGTCGCATTTGATGGGATATTTTGTGTGTAGAGTACAAAGTGCAGTTTGACATTTTAGGGATGACACGACATTTCTGTGTGTTCATTTCTATTGACAACTAGCTATTGTGTGTACGCTGCGTAAAAGTATTTCATTTTTTTTGTTTTTTGTTTTTAAAACCGACCGGAATATAAATTGTTTAAAGAAAATTCAAGAGGATATCTAAATAGAAGGGACAGTCGTTGAAAATTGTAAAATTTAAATTGAATTGACTAAGAAACTGTGTGAGCAATAATCGGAACGCAATTGTTGGTAAGCTACGGAATGGAATTCTAACGGGAACATTGATTGGGCTTGATTTTCATGACAATCGCACAAATTGTACTATTATAAAGAGATTTTCTCGATTAGTCTCAGACAGAAGCCCATTCTGTTTATAAAAGTGGAAAAATTGAGCATTTCTTTCGATTCTCTGTGTGCATACCCAAATGGTGTGCTGTGAAAAAAGTTTTCATTTCTTTGTAGTAGTGAGAGCAACACGTCAAAACACAGTTTGCACATATCGAAAATACCGACTCATACATGGACATTACACACATTTAGTCTGTTTATCATTGCACCAAAAAAGCACAACGCTTATGAATGTATTTAATTTCATTTGTTAGAATTTTTGGGATCAATTTGCTGCTAATTAACTATTAAATCAGTTTTTAGCAATTTTGTAGTGAAATCTAATGGATTTTCGTGAATGTTTGTGTATTTTCAGAAACAATGATCGGAAATTGGCAACGCACTCTGGAAAACTATTGGACGAACACTCAGAATGAAACGGAAGCAACGCTACAATTCGTGAAAGATGATTTTCGATGCAACGGACTTCCCTTTGACGATAAATTCAAGGAATACTTTTTGCGAGAAACGAATGATCGGTAAGAAGATGTTATTCCTAATGTTATATTGTTCCCATTGCATTTTCATCATCAAATTGTAATCATTCGACTGAATCAACTGCGTCCATACTTTTTTCTTCCCTCCAGTGTCGCTCAAGCATATGAACGAAGTCTCAGGAAAGCTAAACTCGAAGAGCAACTCATTGGAATTCATTCTCGGAATCAGGAATTGACCAACAAGAAGACGACCACCGATGAAAGCAGAGGGACAGTAAACAACATACCGAATAACTGCAATCAGCCAGCGACTGACACAATTGTACCATCCACAAATGAAACGGTGAATACAGTTGCCGATTGGCCACATTTATTACCGTCTTCTACGCCATTTTATTTTAAGCCGAGAAATGAAACGTTTCAATCATTCACATCGCCTTTGGCCAACAACATCGATCCGGAAAATGCCACTGGATCGGTAGAGGCACAAGTCAACGAGTGCCAAGTGGCTATTTCGAGTGGAATTGATCGAAATGAGAATGTAGTTGGCATTGACAACCCAATCGATACGACGATGGGAAGCCAAGCACCGAGTACTTCTACTTTTATGCAGCCAACTGTTGATTTCATTGCACCACAGGTGGTGCCGAAAGTAAATCCTGAACCAATGGCTCCTATGAATGAACAGCAATCGATGCAAAAGACAACACCATTGCATCAGTTTTCATCTCTTGACTCACAGAATGAGTCTGAAGTGAGCGTGCCGAGCAGTGATACATTTCAACCATTCACATCGTTTTTGGACAACAACATCGATCCGGAAAATGTCACTGAATCGATCGAAGCAATGATTGGCAACGAATCAATAATGACCGCTCAAATCAACCAGTCTCAAGCGACTATTTTGACTGGGATTGAAAAAGAAAAATCAATAACAACTGCCTGTCAAGCACAGAGTGCTTCTGCTTCTGCATCTATTCAGGCAACCAATGATTTGCTTGCACCAGTGATAGAGCCGGAAGTAATTGGAGTCAACCAATGCAGCGATGTGAATGCTATGAAACAAACTACGACTCCTCTCCGTGGATTGTTTGAGGCACACATCATCCCAAGCGATGAAACACTTCAACGATTTGCATCGTTTGTGTGCAATAACATCGATCCGAACAATGCGGCAGCATCACTTGGAGCAATAATCGGCACAATGTCCGCAAAAGCCTTCGAGTCTCAAGCCACGCATACGAATGGAATGGCCGTGAATAAATACGAATTGCGAAATAACATAGAGATCAACGAAATGGCCAATGAAATGATGGCAAATGCTCACCCGGATCCAATCATTAGTGAATGTGACGATATGAATGCACTACATGCTCTAAAAGAGAAAGCGATTAACGACGATCTACCAAACGATACGATGATTGTTGATTTGACAACTGAAAATGATGGAGCATTTCCAGAAAAAGCGGACAGTCAAACCTACCAGAAGGAGGTAAAGCAATTGACAACGATTCAACGACGAAAAAGAAAAAATGAAGAACCATCAACATCGAATGGCAATTTAAAGAAGAAGCGGAAGATTGCACCACGTTCAACATTGAAAACCATTCTTTCAGGTAAGATTTATGATCGTAGTTCGTGTCAAAAGAGTCTATTTAATCCAGAATGTTATTATTCCCACACAGAATCGCCTTCGATTGATTTGAGATCAGAAGAATCACGAAGTGTTAAGCAGTCAAAAATCGCGGGTGCTCAACGGAGTCAACGAATTAAAATCAATTCAAACGGTGCTGAACAAGAGAAAAGATCGATATCAAATGGAAAATCCAAAACAAAATGTGAGTTTTGTAACTATGTTGCCAGATCTCAATCACAACTGATAATACACACACGCATACATACTGGCGAGAAACCATTTCAATGCAAGATTTGTGCGAAAAGATTTACTCAAAAGATCACTTTGAAAACGCACATGAGAACTCATGCAAATCAATTCCCATTTCATTGCTCGATTTGTCGACAGGGATTCGCGGTGAAATGGGCAAAGGAGAAGCACGAGAAAAATTGTAATCAACGGCTATATAAATGTTACTTGTGCAAATATCATACACTATACAAAGAAAGCTTAGTCAAACATATGCGTCTTCACACCGGAGATAAACCATTCCGTTGCTCTCTTTGCTCAAAACGATTCGTTACAAAATATCATATGAAACGGCATCAAAAACGTCATCAAAACAAATCTAAGTGAGTTTTGTTGCAGCTTTTCTTCATTATTAAATGTCTATAAACAAATTAAATGTAAATCTCGTGAATATATCACAAAAAGACAAGCAATTCTTGCCATTTATTCAAATTGAAAAGTCATTATTTGTATGAAGCACAGAAAATAAGATTTAAAATGTTACAATTGAGTGTATTCTAATTGAAATTGAGTGTATTTGTGTCGAATATAGAATTATTCAATTCAAAGACATTTATTGTGACGAAAAGGACGAATTATTACTTTAAAGAATAAAAAGAAGCTACCAAACAAACTCACGTGTCTTTCTCATTTCATTGATAAATTGGAAACCAATTTGAATGTCGTTATTTGTCCCTCAATAATACTTTTTCATCCATAAATTTCAGAATCTCACAATTTTATGAATTTGTCAGAATGTATCTATTGGATTGAATGTATTGTCATTGGAGCATATCACAGTGAGCTTTTTGAGAGTAAATATCAGTGCTGTTATTTTCTTCGAATAGTGAACAACACTTTTGTTATTTGCATTGTGAGAAACAAACCTAGGGGCTTTTACAGGGCTGCTATTGGCACCTCAGAAGTGAAAAAAATAACCTGTGCAAAGTTTCACGTGCTTACGATACCATACAGGTATGATTCCCATACAAAAATCCATTTTGTTTTACTTTTGTATGAAAAGTATTTCAAAAATAATGTTTATGGCAAAATTAACGTCAGATATATTTTTTATAGTGTTTTATAGAAAATAGAATTGTTTCAAATGTCGTACAAATGGGTTCATCATGAAAGTGTGAAAAATCTTTTCTCGAGTACTTCTGCTATTAAATTAAAGAATATTTCGATGCCGAACGCTTGAAAGGCTTGAAAGGCTTGAAAGGCTTGAAAAATCGAACAAATATTATTTTGAAATAGCTTAATAGAATACGCATCTACCACCGTGCGGAAAAGTTCGTCTTACTCCTGAAAGACTCTTTATTTTTATATTGCGTTGCCTCTTGGGCATTATCACAATTCAATTTTCATTTTTAATTTTCTAAGAATGAGAGAGGCAACGCAATATAAAAATTATTTGTGTATTTGATTGCAAGCGTCACTGAAAATTTATATCAGATCATTTTCAGATTTGATGTGCAGTATTGCGTCACAGTGAGAACTTCCAAAGAAGTGTTTTTTACTTATTAATAAATTGATGTTTAAATATTAATTCATGATAAAAGAAAACAAACACAATGCTTTGTATGTTAAAGCGAGAGCAACTTTTATTCGAAAAATGTAATTAATTTCATAATTTTGAACAACAAATTGGAGTAAGATGTTTAAATTTATTTTATTTTTCAAAAATATTTACTTTTTTTCGGCTGTTCAGAAGGATGCCCATCACGAAGAAGAAATCGATTCTGTAACTAATATTTTAATCAATATTTGGTCGCATCGGATGCTTCGAAAGCGGATAAGAATCGGTGCGCTTGATCTCCACCAAACCGTAACTGTTTGTCGATGATTTGAATTTCATTTGCAAATACCACTTTTCATGCACGTAAATGGTCAATTTACATGCGTTCTTCAGCTTGCGACGTTCTCTATCCAACGATTGTAGTGTGACATTCATATCTCGCAGCCAATGAGAACTATTTTTATTACCTTTTGCATAAATAATTTTAAGTTTTGGTGTATGTCGCACAAATGGAATGATCTCATCGATCGAATAAATATCAGCTGTATGGAATTCTTCTAATTTTGTCAATTTTCGTGCTAATAATTCAAATTCTCGATCATCATTACCCCAAATATTTAAATAAAACAAAAATTTTAGATTCGACATACAGCTAATTGGATAAATTGAGTTTCTCTCACGATCCACTATAATGATTTTCACACTTTCCAAGAACTTAATCTCTTGCAACTTTGGATGGAAGAAAAAGTCCAAAACAAAAATTTCCAAATGTAATGTTTTGATCTGATTATTTCGATGGAGTGAGTGCAGATTTTCGATGATCTTTCTACATTGTTGCCCTTTTCCACCCATGTCATATTCAACACCAAATCATCTAATTTAATGCCGCTTTCAAGAAGCCAGTTTGTTGTTTTAATTGCATCGTCATTATAAGCATAAAATGCTCGAATATTTGGATTTCTCACCAAGAAATCCGTCAACTCAACAGGAAAATCCGATGATCTCCATTGTAATTGCTTCAGCGTTGGATATGTCCGTGAAAGCTCTCCAGATCTCTCTCTTATTTCACAAAGAATCAAGTACTCTAATTTTGTACAGTACCTCAATAAAAAATTAATTGGAGAAGAAACAGCGAGTACAACGACTTCAATATTTTCTAGAACATCTCTTGCGCATTCATAATCTTCAGCGTTTATTTTGTGCAGCCGGAAGAAAAGTATACATTTTAGGTTTTGATTCATTTTTTGGCCAATCAGTTTAAAAGTCTCAATTCCTGCATTAAAACTTCTTAATTCTGCCATATGAAATTTAAAAGATTTTAAATCATTTTTATCAACTGTGATATTCGGCTTTTTAAATTCTTCTTCACGAAAACAAACAAAATTATTTTTATATATGTTACGAAAATGCTCATTTGCGAGCAAGTAAAGGCGTTTGCATGTCATTTTTATTGTTGCGAGTTCTTTAATCGACAACCAGTCAAGAATATGAAGAATACAATCTTCGTTCAATGCACAGAACTCGGTTTTTGACTTCTGACTTTTCCTTTGTGGCACTCGGTTTCCGTCTTCTTCACTCATCTTTCGCCGTTTTCCCTCACTCATCTTGAATACAATTTTTGTTCACTTGAACTCAGTCGCTATGAATGTGTGCGGAACAATAGAAAATGACACCAAATCCGTCGTTGAAGTACCAAACTGACAACTATAATCAATGTTAATTTATTTAAATGTTTAAACGAAGAATGTCGCTGCTGTTTATTTGAAGGACGTAGAATGAAATAAACGTGTTTCTGTGGCGATATTTTCAAATAAACTGAATTTCACTAAACTCAGAGAGACGCCGATAACTTGAGTAGACCAAAATGGAAAATATGAAAATAAAAGGACAAAGGTCATTCCATGGAAACGAAAAACTTTTGCTAAACAATACACTCTATCTTGGTCCTTTTACTTATTGTATTCTTTGCTTTTGGATGATGTTTTCTATGTATAGACATAAGTACCTGAAAATAATAATGTAACTGTCGAATTCATTGCTTATTTGTACCTGTTCGAGATATTCAAATAAATGTGTTGGGTTATTCTTAAATCATGTTCATGCTTTGAAGGTACCCAGAATCAATATTTCGACAAAAGTCATTTTATAAACAATACATTCCAATTTTGTTTTTTGACTATTTTGCTTCATTCTTTGAAAACAATTACAACAAATATCGGTCAAGTTCTTAACTATTTGTACCTGCAATCGAATATTGGCATTGTTAAATGTTTGTGCTGAAGCATCCGATGCGACCAAATATTCACATAGCATATTCACGATAAGACAACATATATATAATATAGTTCTGCGGTTGCCAGCGGCACCAATCCCTAATAAAGCGTTACCGAGCTGTCATTATTTCCATGCTCTGAATATTCATTCATAGAGAACTTCATAAAATAGACTCTGGTTTTCAAATGGAAGATGTAAAGAATTTCAAAAAGGGACCAAATCAGAAATTTTGTTTTATGCGATGACAGCATAAAATGGGCTGTAATTTATCTAGATCAATGTTTACCATAATTATTTGCAAATGAAATGCAATTCAATTTCAAACAGTTACGGTTTGGTGGAGATCAAGCCACAGCTGTATGCAGTAAGTGGAAATAATCTTCGATGTGTTTTAAAAATCGATTAAAAATATGATACTCCCGGTCGCTCTAATTTATTTTTCTAAAATTAAAATTAAAAAATTGTCCAATAAAAGTTTTGACATACAAAGCATTGTATTTGGTATCCTTTCTTATAAATAAATCAAAAAAACATTCAAACATCGCTTCGTTGAACTTATTTCTGTTTTCGTACTTCATGCATCTCGATTATTAATAGAATGAAGTAAGTAAATTATTTCGATCAAAAGTTTTGTACACTCACGACGAAACTTACACTTATTATATCAAATTAAAAAAAAAAACATTTATCAATCTGTTTATTCATGTTGGTTTTTCATCGGAAGTCATAAAATGTGACATATATTTTCGGAATTCCGTTGTAAAACAGTGTAGGTAATCTGTGCAGCATTCAAAACCATTTTTATCCACAAATTCAAACATATGTTTTTTCGAACATTGGTTTATATTAAGAAGATCTAAATATTATAAGTCTTGAGAAAACTTCCAATTCTCAATGTTCAATATTACTTTTCCGCACACACCTTATTGATTCTAGACGTCTGGTTCGAAAATAATTCAAACAATTGACGATGTTTATTTTCAACTGTAGGTACAAATCGATGCTTTTATTCACCGATGCCAATAAAGAAGAAAGAAAAAGATTCAGATGAAAAGATAAACAATAGAAAAGAAAAAAAACATTAGACCAAATTGTCGCCCATTCTCACTTGTTTTTTTTTTTTAAATTCAGTGCACCTGTAGGTACAAAGTTTAGGTACAATGACCTTTGTACTTTTTCTTGTCCATTGTTTCCAAATTACTCCTTTTAGCATCGACGTCTATCTGAAACCAGTTCACTTAGAAACATCACAAAAACAAGTTCATTTAGTTTATCGACGACTTGTTCTTTCAGCTCTAAATAAGCTCTTGTGAAATTATTCAGTTAAATAAAGCAAAATTAAGTACATTTATTTATCAACATTTGGTAATTAGAATTTAGCCTGAGTGAGGACTTTTGTATCATTCTCTATAAATCCGTGCCCGACGAAGTAACCGAAAAGTGTATTCAAGATGAGTGCGGCAAAACGGCGAAAGATATGCACCGAAAATCAGACCACAAGTGAAATATCAAAAACTGAATTTTATGCATTGAACGACGATTGTATACTCCAAATTCTCGATTGGTTGTCGATTGCCGAGTTAGCTGCAACAAAAATGACATGCAAACGACTCTATTTGCTTGCCAATGAACATTTTCGTAAAACATACAAAAACAAATATGAACAATTATCGAAATTCCGCGGCAAGCTTAAAATCCGAATCAAAGATAAATATTTTCAATCATTTCAATGCCATAATCCGCGTATACATTGTTCATACGCAGGAATCGAGACTTTTAAACACATTGGCGATAAAATGAGTCAAAATGTAAAACATATCAGTTTCTGGGAGTATCCCAAAACAATTCGAATGCGCCCTGTCCATTGTGAGTACGCGAAAGACGTTCTGCAAAATGTTGAAATCGTTGAATTGGTGAGTTGTTCGTCAATTAACAATTTATTGAAACATTGCACGAAATTGGAGTACTTAAGTTTTTGGGTCACCAAATCAGAAGAACTGTCACATACATATCCGAAGCTGAAGCAATTAGGATGGCAATCTTCAATGGATTTTCCTCCCGAGTTGAAGGCCTTCTTCACTAGAAATCCGACTATAAAAACATTTTCTGCTCAATATCAAAACTCTATCACAACAACGAACTGGCTGCTACAAAACCGCATCATTATCGACGATTTGGTGTTAACAATACGGAAGGAAAGTGACAATAGCGTGATGCAAATAATCGAAAATGTGCATGCACTTCACAGAAATCATCAGATTAAACGTTTACATGTGAAAATCGAAGACATGGACTTTTTGCTCTATCCGAAAATGCCGGAGTTCATTGAAAGTCTTCACTTCAATATGTATGACGCCAGAAGGCAATCAATTTATCATGTGATTAGCAACATGCCGAATCTTAAATTTTTGTATTATTTTGAGCCGAATAATACTTGTCAATATACAGTGTTAGCGAAGAGATTAAAAAAACTCGAAGAATTTCACACAGATTATATAAAATCAATGAATGAACTCATTCCGTTTGTACGACATTCACCGAAACTTCAAATTATTTACGCGATGTATTTTGTAAGCTGCTATTTTCCCGAAGATTTTACAACTAATTTGCAAATGTTGGACAAGGAACGGCGCAAACTGAAGGACGCGTGCAAGTTAACCATTTATGTGGAAGAAGAACTTTATTTGAGGGTGAAATTCAATTCATCGACGAATAGGTGTGGTTTAGTGGAAATCAAACGCGTCGATTCGTATCCGCTGTCGAAACATCCGATGCGACCAAACGCTCTCAGCGTTTTGGAAGCGAGGAGATGAAATGATAGAACTGAATGCAAGATTTTTTTTTTAATTTATTGTTATAGAAAGAAAAGAGATCCATGGCATAAATAGTTTTATGATACTTTGACTTTGATTTGTAATTAACAGTAGAATTTAATCGCTTCCCGTAGCTTCTCTTATTTCTTCGCTTATCCATATTCTCTTTTTTCTTTTTCCATCTTTTCTTTTCTTTCTTCTTTTTACCTATGTTAAAAGAAAGTAAGAGCACAGTACACAGTGGTACACAGTACACTGCAAGCGATGCAGTTTTTTTTAAGCGTAGAAATAAGAGCAAGTGCTTGTTTTAAAGCGCGGTTAGCTGTAAAATGGAATGAATTAGATAGAAATTGTTTAATAAGTCACCATTATATGGCAAGAGTAGCCAATTTATTATGTAACTTTTATTGTTCAAAAAAAAAATCTCCAAATAAAACATCTGTTTAGATTAACCAAAAACCAATACTGTCCCAATTTATTGTATGTGTACTAAAAAGCGCTGAAATTCAAAAGTGAAAACGACGATAATACAGTCATTCCCGGTCATTCCAATCCCGAAATTCATTCCACAAATCATTTTGACAGTTGGTGTCAATGGGTGAATGCTTTGGTATTTGTGAGCAACATGTATCTGTTCGTGTCATAGTGTGTTGTTGGAACACAAAAAGCGCAAACTTCGCATTTATATTTCATTTGACAACATAGTGTGCTACGAAGCTTTATCATACACACAGAACGAAAAAGAGAAGAAGACGGCGACAAAATAATAATACAATTTACAGTAGACATAAAAACGTGTATATTTCATCTTTCTGTTGTTTATTTTCCAAGTTGTAAGTTTTTTGAAATTATTATTAAGTTTTTTGTTAGTTTAAAGCTTATACGGTAAACACATACATCGTATGCAGGACATTTAACAGTGATATTCACTTAAGCAGCTTTGATGTGCCGGGTAAACATGAATTTTGCTATGCAAATGACAGTGTTCCAGCTATACGATGCGTTCAAATGGGTGTATATCAAAGTGTAATCACATTCCAGTTTTGCTCTGGAAGTATTCTGGCTTCAAATGAGATTAATTTGTGGAGGTTTGTTTTTTTGGAATTGAAATTTTTGGTCAAAAGATTGACATTTTTGCATGTGTTTTATTTTCATCCAAATCGTTTGAAACTTCACAAGTGGCAAGTGTTTGATGGAAAATGACGATTACCATCAATTTTTAGTCGATATGGTTGTGCGAAGATATTACTTTTCCGCACACCTAGTGTAGGGAAGGTATTGTATTAGGCCAAAAAATTAAAGTCATCCCAAAACATGTTTTCTATGCATATTTAATGTAGAAAACACGATTGGAGATGATTTTGAGGCATATTAATGTGCGTCGCTGTGTGTGATGTGTCCTGTGTCCTGTGACCTCTGTCCTGTGTCCTGTGTCCTGTGGCGTGTTGCCAAAATTTGTTAACTCGATAAATCTTTTTCCAAAAACTCAATTCAAATTCTGACTTTGCAGGATGATTTGGGACTACTAGGAGACGTGCTGATTAGTTTTTGAGCAATATCTGTTGACCGCTGTAATTTTTTTGGTCCGAATGGAGTACCCAAATCCATACATTTTACTTTTTTGATCATTTTTCAACCATTTTGGTGACACGATGGTTTCGTGCTCAGACATGAAATTCAAAATCTGACTTTGCGGGATGATTGGGCATTACGAGGAATAGATCTGGTCAAATTTTCAACGACATTGATCGATCGGTGTAAAACTTAGACTCTCAAGAAGCACTCATGAGAAAAATGCCTTAAAATAATTTATTATTTCAATTTGAACGCTGAAAGAATGTGTAGTGGGGGGTTTTTTGGCACGAGAAACCCGAATCTGATCTTAGTTTTAAGATGAAATCAATTTTTCACAGACTTTTCATACAAAAATCCACAAAAAATTTCATTTTTGTATGAAAGACATGCCTTTGTGGTACAGTAATGATATGAAACTTTGAGCAGGCTATTTTTTTTTGATTGAAATTTCTTTAAACTTGCTGTGATTATTTATTTTGATAAGAAAATAATATTCACAAGGTTTCACGGTAATTTAATTTACTGCAACCATACATAGACCATAATTTCAGTTTATTCCCAAAATTTCGGTTCCATGCGGAAAAGTCAGCTTGCGTACGTAAGCCTCTTTATTTTTATATTAACTGAAAATGTCATTTTTCAATAAATTTACATAATGACCTACTGAGCTCTTGCGGCACTATCTAGCGTTGAGCTATCGGCATGAAACGTTACACACGTTATTTGCACTCCACATGGAAAAGTATTCCGGGGTGAGAGCGAAAAAAGTTCAACTATTGTGTTTTGGGGGCCAGTTTACTAATAAGTCCTAATTTTTCTTAGTTTTTTTTTAGTTTTCTAGTATGTGTCTTCCCCCCTAGAAAGTAGAAACAGAGACTGTTTCTCAGAGCAATATATGTGAGGAGGGGCGCTCAGAGAAGCCGGAAGAGCTCTGAGGAGCTGAGCTCCTCCTCAGTGAGGAGCAAAATATTAAAAGTCAAAAAAATATGCAAAATGATTAATAATAATATGATTTTTGACATTTTATCAAAATATAGCTCCTCAGTGCTCTTCCGGCTCACCTGAGCTCTCCTTCTCACATAATTGCACTAAGAAACAGTCTCTGAATACAATTTCGTGAGACCTGTAGGCTTTAAAGAGTTATTTCATCGTAAAACCCATTTATTTACAGCACACATTGATTTTTGGTTAAGATAGATCCGTAAGATCTCCGCAAGAGCTGGATCTAAACGTGCGTACGCCGCAGCATGATACATGCATTCATTTTACCGTGTTGATTCGACACGCAAATTAAAGTAGGCGAACTAAGAAGAATGATTATGTAACAATGCGGCGGTGTACGCTGATCTATCCAGCTCTTGCGGAGCTAGAAACCATCACTATTCATTTATAAGTGTTAATATTTTGCAGATCAAATCCGTCGATTCTGTCATAATGGATAATCTCAAATTGATGGAAGCAACGAGTCAAAATCAGCCGGAATTTTTTGGATTGAACGACGATTGTATTCGACCAATTCTTGATTGTTTATCGATTGAAGAACTGTCTCTTATGAAAATGACATGTAAACGTATCTATTCGCTTGCCAATGAAAGCTTTTGCAACACATATAAAAACGAAACCGTTGTTTTTTCCGTAAACCGGCGAAAGTTTACCCCTAAAGTATTTAAAGAGCATTTTCAATCGTTTAAATTTCTGATGCCAAGAATACATTGTTCGTACGCAGGAAAGAAGACATTCCAAACGATGGGCAAGAAAATGCATAAAAATGTGAAATTCATTAGTTTATAGATGCCTTAAAAATGTGCGATGAATATTGTGTCTACGCCAAAGACATCCTTGCGCTCGTTGATACGATTGAACTGAAGCGGTGTGCGTCAATTAAATGTTTATTGAAATACTGCACGAAGTTGGAGTACTTGATACTTGACGACATACAACCTAAAGAGCTAATATCACAGAAATATCCAGCTATCAAACAGTTGGGCTGGACATCAGACAATTTACCACCACAGTTAAAAGAATTCATGGTAAATAATCCAAATATAACAGCATTTTTTGCCTCTAACCAAAATCCAATTGAAACAACAGACTGGCTACTAGAAACCGGCCGGTTCAAAGTCAAATTAAATGATTTGGTGTTGAAAATTTGTAATTTTAAAAATGCAGAATATCTAAATGCATTGCAAATGAATGTTCCAGGAATCATCAAAAATGTGATGTCACTGCACAAAAATCAACAGATCAAAACATTACACTTGGAAATAAAATATTTGGATTTTTTGCTCCATCCAAAGTTGCCGGAGATCGAGTTTTTGGAAAGCGCTCATGTTTATATTGAAGACGCACATAGAAAATCAATCGAATCAATAAGTCGCGGTATGAGAAATCTTAAATTTCTGTTTTATTATAACAAGTATCGTGCCAAAAAGAGCGAATATCAAATGTTGGCACAAAATTTGACCGAACTAGAAGAATTTCATACAATTAGTGTTGGATCAATAGATGTTGTAATGCCATTTATACGATATTCACCAAAACTTAGAGTTATGTTTCTGGAAACAAGTGAATTATATCCAACGGCCAAAAATGTTTCACTCGAATTGTTGCATAAGGAACGCCACAAGCTGGAAAATGCATGCAAATTAACGATTTATGTGGATGAACCAACTTATTTGAATTCACCGATAAACAGTTGCGGTTTAGTGGAAATTAAGCGCACGGCGTCCTATCCACTTTCGAAACATCCGATACGACCACTTAAAAGTTAGTTGCGGAATGGCTTTTTTAGGGAAATGAAAATAGTGATAAGATACACTTCAATGTATGATTGAAGTTTATTCTGATCATAGGGCGAATCACGCTAGTGAATACTAGAAAAACTAGTAAATCTAGTGCAAAGAATGACGTCACAAACGAAGCCAACTTCACACCAAAGGCCATATAATTTATATGAAAAACTACTGAGAGCCAACTTCACGCACTAGAATTTTCTAGTTTTCTAGTGAAATCTTATCAAAAACTAGATGCACTAGAATTTCGTGATTGACCCCATGATTCTGATGCATGTAAACAGGTCGTTGTTAAAAAAAATTGCTGGAGAAAGAAGTCTTCTAGACTCAAACTACGACATATCGATAGATGCCATTGAAAAATGGCATATTTCGATATTTCGTCGCATACGTAAGTGGGTTGCAAACGAATCAAGTGAATAGCGGTGACGCAAGAAAACAAAGTGAGCGAAGAGTGGCAACGGATAACATCTTTTTCTTTCGTTCGTTAACGCTATTCACTTCAATTTGTTATATTCGATTGTATTAAAAATAAATGCTTTTTCACTAACATATTAAATGTACTGGTTTTTATTGACTCTATAGTCTAGACGAATGGTACCAAAATAACTCAAGCGATTGATAATGTAATGACAGGTAAAAATGGATACTTTTATTATTTTCAGGTGTCAATAAAAGAAATAAGTAGGAAAAGAACAAGGTCTATTGTCGGCCATTTTCTAATGTACATTGAACAAATTGTAAGTATTATAACCTTTGCGCTTTTTTCTTCCCCCCTTCTTTTTATATTCTACCCCTTCGATGTATTTTGGCTATTTGGGTCTGTATGCATACGGCTGAAACTAGTTCTCGTGAAACCATTGCCACAGATGCACGTTCATTTTTCAAGGAATTATTCACTCAGCTTTAATATCCGTTCAGTGGAAAATCGTCAAATATACTTATTATTTACATAAATAAACTACCGTTGATAATAGATAGATCGTTGTGTAATAGATTGAATCATTTTGTGTGTAACAGATTGAATTCAGGCTATATTTTCATTTTCTATAGATAGTCGTGTGTTTTCAAAATGGTTGTTTCAAAGCGACAAACGATAATTGAAAAAGATCGACAGTCATGTGAAAAGTCATTAACCGAATTAATTGCATTGAACGTTGATTGTTTTTTAGAAATCTTTGATTGGCTATCGATTGAAGACCTGGCTGCTATAAAAATGACATGCAAGCGACTTTATTCGATTGCAAATGAACATTTTATTAAAACCTATAAAAATAAATATGTGCGATTTTCCAAAAACTACACAAAGCTCGAAGTCACCGTCCGAGAAAATCATTTTCAATTATTCAAATTTCAAATGTCAAAAATACTGTGTTCGTACACAGACGCCCGAACCTTCGCACTGATTGGACTAAGAATGAATCCAAATGTAAAATTCATAAATTTTTATACGTATTTAAACCCAGTTAACATGAACGCCATCCATTGTGAGTACGCGAAAGACGTTCTGCAAAATGTCGAAATGATTGAATTGGAAAATTGTGCGTCGAGCAATGATTTATTGAAGTGCTGTACAAAATTGGAGTACTTGATTTTGGATGGTTTGAAATCGGAAGATCTGTCCCATACATATCCAACGCTCAAGCAATTACGGTGGGTGTCGATGGATTTTTTGTTTCTAAATGAGTTTTTGGTGAGAAATCCAAATATAAAGACATTTGCAGCTGAATATCAAAGTCCCATTGAAATAACGAACTGGCTGCTACAAAACCGTCAAATCGTCTTAGATCATTTGGTGTTAACAATACAAGGTCAGGGAGTGCACAATATCAATCAAATATTTGAAAATTTGCATTTACTTCACAAAAATCATCAGATTAAAAAATTACATTTGGAAGATGTTGAATTGGACGTTTTGCTCCATCCAAAATTGGCGGAGATTGATTTTTTGGAGAGCGTTCATTGCAATATAGCTGATGATAAAAGGGAATCCTTGGATGTCCTTGGCAATATGAATCTAAAATTTCTGTTTTATCATAATATGTGGCATATATATGATCATACCCGATTCGAAGTGTTAGCAGAGAAATTGCCAGAATTGGAAGAATTTCACACACAAGCTGTTCATTCGATTGATGAACTCATTCCCTTTGTACGACATTCACCAAAACTCGAAATTATTTATGTCAAATGTTATACATGGCATTCAAGGAGATTTACAAGTACTACGCTACAATCGTTGCATAAAGAACGTCGCAAACTGAAGAAAGCATGTAAATTGACCATTTATTTGGATGAAGACCATTATTTGAAATTGAAATTCAGTTCATCGACAAACAGTTACGGTTTAGTGGAGATCAAGCGCACCGATTCTTATCCGCTTTCGAAACATCCGATGCGACCAAATGCTCTTTAAATGCAGAACGGAATGGAATTGTTTTTTGAAAAACGACACTATGAAGGGAAGTTTTCATGATTTAGTCCGGTTTTACTTAAACTTTTTAATTGTTGTGTTTGATTTCGGTTTTGTTATATTAAAAATTTGATTTCCAAAACTAATTGCGTTTTTAATTTTTCATGGTTTTTGTATGAAAATATAGAGAATTTTAAAAATCAGCAATTTTTCTACGTAAAGCAATGCTAAGTTTTCTATGGAAAATGGACTGATCTATCAATAGACTGATTTATCTAGACCATTTGATCTGACTTGTGTGGAATCGAAATAGTTCAGAGAGTCACTAATAGAAGGTCCTAAAATGAACTTCAGCGCTAATAAGCAATTTCATTTCAAATGGAGCCGCTCAAAGCCTTCTATGATTCGTGTCTGTCATTAAAAGCTTAAATCAATTTATAATACGTCACGCCGTTATACAGATCAATTGCTAAAATAAAAAAAACTTTTGTTTGAATTGAGGTGCTTTATTTGTGTTTACGTCAACAAACGTTGCGTTCTATCATTACTTTCTGTGTCTGTTTGACTCTGGCCGATCACAGGCTCTCATGAATGTTAGAATATTGAACATGTCACGGCACACACGATCCACGTTAAACTTAACATCCACACTATAAAAATGACATAAGTTTATCAAATTGAATCGAAACAAGGAACTCATCAGACTTACCCATTGTTTCTGTATATTTCCGATAATTTCTTTGCAATTGAGTCAAACTTTGATTTGTCTCTGTAATCCAGACGAAATTCAAACGAAATTAAACAACGAAAATCAAGTAGATTTAGATTTTATGAACTTACGCGCTAAAGTTAGTATAACTTTTCTGTTTTGCGGCTTCTTCAAATTCTTTTGAAATTTCACTCACAGTTCCGCCAATCGACTCCAAATCATCTCTAAAAGAACGGTTGAGTTTTTATTAATGGACAAAAAAGTGTTGAATCGCTAAGATACTTACGGAATGTCAACTGTTGGTTCACCATCGGGATACTCGTCGGTTCTTTGTTGAACTGTGCAACTGAAAAGCAGGAAGAAAATTTTTTATCGAAAGGAACATGAAGATCGATGAGGTGTTGGATATATGCAAGCTTTTTTCGGGGGAAAATCTTTCACCGATAAAACTGTTCATTTTAGGTATAAAATAATAATAATCAATGATCAAATACCTCTTTAGCCATTCAGTTTTGTTAATTGCTTTGATGGCAAGCTTAACCTCTCTCAGCGAAGCCTTTACCATCGGTATATGAATAAATTCGGAGCTTGAAGTCTGAATTGGTGCATTCTTGTATTTTTGCTTCGATAAATAAGCGCCCAATGTTCCCAATCCAACTTTTTTGAAATAATTTAAATATCCAGAATTTTTGAGGTTGGGCTTGATTCGAAGCATGTTTCCGTATAAGTCATAGCAGATTCCCTCCACAGATTCCTTCATGTCAGGTACCAGTTTTCTGGAACATTCGAGAAAACTCAATTGTTGACAACTTTTGATTCATTAGTAAAAAAAATCGATAAAAACTCACAATAAACCCCTCAATTGGGAAGCAATGCTGTTGAATTCCCTGCAAATTCATTCAGTTTTAAAGAATGAGGCCAAATTGAGCGAAAATTCCGAGAATTTATTTAAAATTAAATAAAAATTTAATTATTTAATTTAGCCTACTTGCTAAATTCAGCATCGGTAAACGCGGCACGATCAAAAACATTGGTGAGCAGCGTTCCAATTTTAACGACGATTGTATCTAGTTCACTGCAAAGATAAAAATCAGACTTAGAATCGATTCATCCATTTCATAAAATCGTGCATACTCGATCGATGGCAAGTCGTTTTCTGGTTTGCCTGAACATTTTGGATCGTATCTCTTATGGCCACAGCATCTAAACAATACAGTTCAACTTTTACTTATTTTGCAAAATATGTAAACAAAATGTGGTGTTTACTTATACATCCAGATGTGATAGCCTTTGGACTCAATATTGATGGGAATTTCCGGAACCACTGGAACCCTTTGACTTACAGATGTCAAGCATAATGGATCGTCCGGATTTCCGCGAACCAACATCACCTAATTGGAGGTTTATTTTGAAGAGAAAAGAAACGAATGAAGATGTTAAGCATTTTTTTAGCCCCGAAAAACGTCTGAACTTACCAAAGCGACTACAAACAAGATTTTAGCTGATTTCATTTCAAGTTATTTTTTTATTAAATATGATCAAAATTTGTCGATGTCAACTGTTTCGCGAATTACTTTCAATTTATTTTCAATTACTGGGAAAGCGATCATTTATACTTTAATCGTTTGTTTGCATTTAAATGCCTTTCAAATGAGACACATAAGATCATATTAAATAAGGCCATTTTCAAAAACAAAATTCCATTTGGTAATATAATTGAACTTTGTTATCGAAGCATTTTAGAAATGATCCGTCCCTCCGACGACATTTTTTGCATTGAAAAACGTTTTTGTTGGGTATTTGTAACACAAACAAATAATATTTATTGCGTCAATCATGCTGTTTTATCTAATTTCAATGTAAAGCTATAACGTAATTTAGCTTATTCTTTAATTCACTTTCATTTATTTAAAAAAAACTGGAACTTTAGAAAGATCTAGTTATTGAGGAGAGCAGAATAATGAAAGTTTATGGGAAGATGATATTTTATTATGTTATGCTGAATTTTGTGCGAGTTTGGTAGCTTCCATCGCCTGATTGGATCTGGTAGACATAAGATTTTGTCGATGTTTTTGTAGAAATCTTCTTTACTAATAAATAAACGTTGCTTCCGATATTTACGTTTTTCTTCTGCTAGTGAATAAAAATGAAAAAAAATACATCTGTTTTGACTTGAACTAGGGGATAACCATGAATTGCAGATCGAATAATTTATAATAATAAACGCTATTTCTCTCTATTTTTCACTAATTCTGCTAGTATTTCTACTAGTTTGTTCTAATACTGCTATTTTTTGCTAATTTTTCTAGTACGTCAAAAATATTGCATACGTCAGATTGACTGCATGATCGAATAACCGAAATGTGTTTACGTAAATGTTTCAAGTTGACACTTTCAACGTGTATATTTGAAGCAGGCACTAGCGTATACGTTTTCAGTAAGAAATCTGTCATCAAATCTACATTTCCGATTGCAATTCGTAAATTGTAGTTAATACAGATGGAACGTGCTTGGTTACGTGCCATTGAATATATTTTTATTTAAAAATGGGAAAAAGTGTATTTAACTACATATTTTGATACATTTTAGTTCAACACTCTTCAATTCGTTTGTTTTGTGAATTTTATTTTAATTAATTATTTCAATAAATTCAAGAATAAATGCTTACTAAAGTATATACATGTACAGTGCTAATTCTGCTATTTATTGCTAATTTCGCTATTTTCGTCATGTAAATTTCCCTATTTTTTGCTAATGTGCTAATTCTAATTCACATGGATATCCCCTAGGACTTGAAAGTATATATGCAGTATAAGAATATATCACCTCAATTTTTTCAGAAATAAAAAACGAAGCCTGATCATGCCCGTAACTAACAACACCTCTAATGCGTATTCCGAGTACTAATCGAAGTTTGCGACAATATGGCCGTCACAGTTTGGCAAAATCATAATGAATCGATTAAACTGCGTTAAACTGTAGAAAAAAATAGATTTTAATTTTTTACACTTTTGAAAATCTTTTGTTTTTTAATTTTGTGAGATTTTCTGTCCACAATATTCAAAAATATTAAATCAATAAAAATGAATTAGTTGACATAACCTCACTTTTGTGTCACAATGGTGATAAATCGATTAAATAATTATTAAAACAGTAGAAATAAAAATATTTTCATTTTTTACATTTTTAAAAATAAAAATTCTTTGTTTTGTTTTGTAGTTTCCGGCAGTTTCGTGAGATTTACTGCACAATATTCAAAAATATTAAATTAATAAAAAATGAAGTGGTTGACATAACCTCACTTTCGTTTAAGTAATTATTTGATCGGTTCATCACGATTGTGACACAAAAGTGAGGTTATGTCAACCAATTCATTTTTATTAATTTAATATTTTTGAATATTGTGTACAGAAAATCTCAAAAAATTAAAAAAACAAAAGATTTTTTATTTTCAAAAATGTAAAAAATTAATATGTATTTCTGCTGTTTTAATTTAACATTTTAACGCAGTTTAATCGATTCCGTAGCGGTGCAGTGGAGGGCGCGTAATGAAACTACGTGCCCATCACATTTACAGAACTTTTGGCAACACTGTTCGTAGTGTTTTGACATTTCATGAAATGTGACATTAATGTTCGTTCATTTGAACCGTGTTTGAGTTTTTGAAAAAAAGTGATGAAATTCCAATTTATTATTGTGAGTTTGATATATATTTTATTATTATGATAAAATAACAGTGAAAAAAATGTGTGAAAAC